GATGCCGTAGCAGTAAAATTTATTAAATAAACTACTGCTTTTGCAACGAATTCCCAAAGGTTTTTTAGGAGTTATAAATCGATAAAAACCGTTTTGGTTTTTTCGATAATAATCCGGTTTGTACGTTCGGCTATACCGTTCTGTTTTGGTATATAAGGAGTTATAGGTTCGAAAATAATCCTTTTTTCGGTTAAATAATTTTCTAATTTAACCGGGGAAAACTCCCTGCCGTTATTTATACGAATAATATTTGGATATTTTCCGAATTAGGTTTTGTAATATTCGATTTTATTCGTTATAATATCGAATATATTAGATTTTTCTTTGGAAAATTTAATTTCCCGAAATCCGGTTTTATTATCCGTAAAACCAGTTATATATTTATAACCGGAGTAACTAAAAGGGGTAATATAAACCGTATCGATATAAATACGATATAACGGTTTATTAGCCCTATTCGGATTTATACGGGGTTGGTTTCGGGTAAATTTACCCGAAATATAGGATTTACAATTTAAATCCTTTTTTTTTAATTCTTTTTTAGGAATCCCCGTAATTATTTTAGCTATTTTAGCTAAAATATCGTAGTTAGGGTGGCTAAATCGTTTATACCATTTTTCCGTAGCTATAAGGAAATTCGAATAATTCGAAATTAATTCGATTTCCTTAAGATCCGTGGTTTCGTTAGATTTTGTATCCGAATTCGGTTCCGGGTAACTTAAACCGATTATACGGGCTTTTTCCATTACTGTTAATGGATTTATAGCTAAATATACTATATTAGGCTTTGACTTATTAGCCAGGTATAGGAAAAATCCACGTTTTTTTTGATTTAACGTAGCAAAAAGCCTGTTTTTAGAATCGTATAATTTATTCCCGCTTATAATACCGCCTTTTTGGTAATATAGTTAGTCGGATATAATATTTAGCGGAAATTCCGGTACGTAAAGCACGTTTAATAACGTTATTTTACGTATTTCCCGGTTAATTTCGAAGGAAAGCGTAATATTTCCAATTCCTTTTGGAAATACTTTTCCACTACCTGTAATAATCGGTGAAAAATCCGATTTTATAGTAAAATTATCGAATAAATTCTTATTATTCGATATATGCTTTAAGGAACTAGTATCGTATAACCACTAGTCCCTGGGAACGGAGGTTAATTTCTTTTTCGATTTATTCGAAATATTCGAAAAAGCATAGAATAATTCGTTTTCGTCTGAATCTTTGTTACGGGGTAAGTTTCCCCGTTTCTTAGATTTCTGGTTCGTAGTGGATATGGTCGAATTTGAGTTATTCGACTTATTCGAATTATTCGAATTATTAGAATTATTCGAATTATTTGATTTCTTCTATTTATTCGATTTATTCGAATTCTTCCTATTTCCGCTTTGGGTTCCCCGTTGATTTTAATTGGATCGGGGGAACCGGGATTTCTTATTATCCGTATAATAAGAATTTGCTATAGCCGTATCCGGATTCCGTCGGTTTTTATCCAAAATATCCGTAATTAACCCTTCGAGGGTAGGTGGATTTATAGACCGTAAAGCACTGCGTTAACGGTTAGCCTATATAGGGTAAGCTGACTAGAGGGCTGCAATAAAAATCGTTTTTTGATCGATATTATCGATTTTAGCCTTAACGCTTAAAAGCTTTGAAATATATCCTTTAAAAATAGATATAAACTCGTTTAACGAGTTATAATTTTCGAATTTTATAGTGTGAAATTCGAAATATAATTGCTAACGTAATACGGGTCCGGTGCCTTGATAGGCTAATTGTAAAGTCGATAAGGCTTTATATGGATTTATTTTATCGAATATTAGATTTAACGGTTTTATTGTTAAATTTTAACGAATTAGAAGCAATGCCTGGGCTTTCTGAATATCGGTTATACCATTATATGTATCGGTAGTTTTAAAAAACCGATCGATTCCTAGCAGTTTAAGATATAACTATAACGTGGATTTCTACGTATTCCAGTTTCCGGATCCGGAGAGTTTTTGTTTCTCCGGCATCTGGCATCCGGTAATAGTACGGATAGAGTTATCTATTTTGCCGAATTTTTGCCGTTATAACGGTATAATTATCGTTGAAAACGGTAAAGGAATCGTTAAAAAAATGAAAATAAAAGAAATTAATTCTTTTATTTTATCGATAAAATATATAAGGGGATCCAGGTGCTATAATATAATATAGCAGGTGCTATAAGGTGCTATAGCAGATCGGCTACTATAGTAAGGATTAGTTATAAATGACTTTATAGCCGTTATATGGCTATAACGGGTAAAATCACTATAATTAGCCACTTAACTATAGTTTTCGATATAGTTACGGCTTATATAGGCTTATATATAGGCCTATAAAGGATCGGCTACTATAACGGAATTCTAGAATTTATGTTAAATCAACTCGTCTAGGAGAGCGGCTATAGTTTTCGATATAAAATCCGGTTCCTAATATAATCGATATTATACCGGACCGGGCTCATAACCTGTACTAAGGTATAATTGGTGGATTATAAACTTAGGCATAGGGAAGCGTTTATATAATTCGTAGAATCAGGCCGTAGAGGGTAGTTATAAGCCTATATAACTGATTTATTAAAGCTTAAAGAAAGAATAACTAACTACGGAGGAATAACTACCTTTTATACCTATAAAATTAACTAATAAGAATATTTTGGAATATATTACTAATAAACTAGATTTATAATTAAGTTAATTAGTAATAAGGTTGATTTATAATCGAAGAAACTATCGAAATCTATGGATTTCTATAGTATGGGTTACCCTGTAACCTAGGGCCACTATGGCCAGGTGCACTAGCCACACTTAGTAGGGCTGGATCTAGTGGAACGTTCCACTGGATTCCAGTAGGTTCTAGTGGCCATAGTGGCTATAATAGTTAACTGTAATGACTTGTTGACTGTACAGCATTGTGAACAGTGGCTATAAGTGGTGCTATACTGACTATAAGTCAGTATAGGGTAAATTCCACTGATTTCCTATATATCGTTATTTAACGATATCTCGATGGGTTTTATAGCTATTATAACGATATAATATGCGTTATAAAGCTAATTTTATGCACTATACGATGCTGTATTAACATCCGTGCAACACTTTTTTTATTAGCTATCGTTATTTTATTATAATATATAGCGCAAGCTTTAAATTAAATTAAAACTTATTTAAATAACGATTTTTTTTCCGCTAAATAACGTTTACGCGATTAAAAAGGTAATATTAAAAAATAATAATCCTAAAATTAGGCAAAACGGTATATTAAAGCGGTTTATTTTATAAATATTATTAATTAATAAAAATTCGGGATTTTAGCGCTATATATTTATATACTACCGATAAATCTAAAAAATTCGCTTAATTCGCTTATTTAAAAAATTATTATAGCGGAAAATAATATATTATACCTCTTTTTTTTTTATATTTAATAATATTTATAAAAATATTTATATAGCCGTTTAAGCGCCGTATAAAGCGCGTTTATAGCTATTAATTATATTTTAAATATCGTAAGCTCGGATTTTAATATTATATTATACGCAAAGGTTATGCGCGATTTTTAAAAACGGCTATAATATTTCCTTAGCGAGCGCGATTATTTCGGCTTACTTTTTTAAAAGCTATCGGGCTCGGTTTTAAATAATATAGCTTACGTCCCCGGCTTTATAAAAATCGTAATTATATATATTTTTCGGCTATTTAATTATTTTATTATTAATAAAATTATAACGCTAGCGATTAAAGCGCGAAAGCTATAATTTAATTTTTTAAAAATAATCGATTTATAAGGATTTGCGATCGCGCTTTTTATTATTAGCTTAACCTTTTACCGTATTATTTTTACGATTACCCGTACACTAATAGCAATAAGTTTTTTTATATATAAATGCTATTAGTGTTTTTATTAGCGTTATAGCGTTTGCTAATAATAAAGCCGTTTTATTTAATAGCGTTAGCGAAAGCTTCCTCGGCTTTATTAAAATTAGTAAAAGCCGCATTTTTAACAAATTCTAATAGCGCATTAATAAAAAAGTTAATTAATTAAAGGCTATTATTACGGCTAAAAGTGCTATACTAAAAATTGCTATTTTCGGCTATATTGCGTAATATAATATAATATAGTGAGTTAATCGTTATTATATATTAACAATTTTAGATATACTTTTTTTTTTGCTGGATGTACTGCAAAATAGGGGTGTGGGGAGAGCTTATCGAAATGGGTTAGATATAGTGACTTTAGCTAATATAACAGTGACTTTAGGAGTTCCCATTATTACTCTACATGGCTTTTCGACTATCACTTTTTGGCTCGCTGGTCATGTTTTTTTTCGCCCAGGTCCATACGCCCATCCATCTGTACTATCAAGAGTGTTTGTATGCCACCGTACGCTACAGTAATAACCGTGAAATGGATCCACCAATCTACCACACCGCTCCTTTTCCCGCTCCTACACTATTCCACAGTTTCTACTTTTTTTTTTCCTTCTAACCCTCTTCCCCCTACTTTACCCTTCTCCCTCGCATATGGGCAAACTTGCAGCGTCCCTCCATCATTAGCCTCTTTCAAAACTCATCTTCGGCTGCAAGGGTCCGGTGTAGTATTTGATCGTCCACTCCTGGGAGATCTCGGCCGGCCTGTTGTTGAGGTTGGGTCTACGGCACATTGCGCTGTGGATTACCACCACCACGTACACAAACACTCGCTCCTCCAATAAAGCCGCAAATACCTCCTTTCAAATGTGGCTCCGCTTCGGGCGAGTAGTAGTCACGTTGATCTCTCTACCTGTTTCCATGAAAATATGCAATCCCATAATCGTATTGCCGCCTGCAGCTATCCCATGAGCGGCTCCCAAAACTATTTGCGTCTGATTTCGACCAAGTCATGCAGCCAGGCCTTGTCTGGGTACTCGCCTGTTATACATTTACCTGGTCGGGCTTTACTCTACTATCGTATCTCACACCGCGGCTTGTCTGTCATTTGCTGCCCATGACATCTCGGCCAAGGTCAGAGAATCCCTCTCTCTTGACCTTGCATGTAGCAAGCTGCACAGCAAACCGGAGTCTAGCCTCCACATCCGCGTCCGCGTCCGCGTCCGCTTTGCACAACAGACCGAACAGTATCCCGGCGATGAACGTGTCACCAGCCCCTACCGCACTACAGGTCAGATTTGTTAGTCATTTTTTTTCTTCTCCCCTCTTGCCTTGAAACGGACAGGGCCCGGTTATTCCAGGGACTGGATGGACGACGCACTCGACTACCTGAACCTCCTTTCCATCCGGCGACGCGGCGCAGGACAAACAACGTCCACTCGGGAGTGACCAGCACGATGCTCCATCGGAGCCCCAGGTACAGAGAAGGAGAGTCCTATCATTGCAGCAGCCGTCAGTCGTTGGACCCAGTCGGTTGGGCAAGTCAGCAGCAACACGCCACATGGCATTCCCTCGTCACACGTACGCTTTGCGAGCCACTTTACTTTGCGCCTCGAGACAGTCCCGGGCAGTCTGGTATCCTTGATCCTGCGAGGCGTCAGTCAGCATCCCGTTCTCACTTTTTCGCGTAAACCCAGAAAACAACAACAACAAACCTCTGCCCAACTCTTGGAGTAAAAGACGACATCCGCTTCAGCCGCCAGTTCCTGCAGACCTTGGCGGCCCGGTTTTTCTATTTCCACACTAATTCTAGCCTCTGGGCTCGACTTGCGCAAATGCGTGATGCATTCTAGAGTCGTTTCCGGAAGTCGTCCCTATTGCCGCAAAAGAGAGTCATGAGTATGCGACATGCTACCACGCATCCGAACAAGGCCCCCGCCAAGTTCGACAAGCCAACCCAGCTGCTGAGCCTACTGCTTACCTCGAAATGCCACCATGTCCTGCCACCGCCTAGTAGTAGATCGTTTGCCACGGACTTGAAATCGTCCACCGTCACCTCTGGTAGGTCGTTATAGTTGACCAGGGTCCGGGACCCTGTTGCGTCGCTACGTATGATGTAACTACTGGCCGGTTCCGAGTGACCTGGATGATATACACATCTTGTCAAGTCTACGATTGAATCGATGCCAAAGGACTCTCTAATCTTGGCCGCCGCCGGGGAATCTGCGGATGGTAGTGCAGAAATGAGATATGGTGTAACATTGTGCCCAGGATGCCGACCCAGAAGCTGCTGAAGCACCTCGAGCGAGTTGGGGCAGTTGCCACCTCTACGCACGGTGAGGCTGGACGCGCGTAGCTTGGAGTCCTCGCTTGGAAAGAATGGTACACTGTAATATTATGTGAGTTGTGATGCGTCTCGATATTGTCTGCAGATGAAAACAAGTGAAACGGGGTTCTGTAACGTGCCTCATTATGGTGTCGAGGTAGCAAGCGCCAATACAGACGAGTTTGGTCATGGTGAGATTTTTGCTCCCGAGGCAATGATGGCACGCTGGTCCATTTACCTATAAGTGCCGTGATGTTGATTTCGTGGTTGTAGCGAAGGTGAAAGAGTGTGGGTTATCACTGGCCCGCCTAATACAGTTTGTAGCCATGACATAATGTTTGCTTGCGGGACTGTTGGTCTATGCAATGTGTGGTTTGCGGATGAGGCTCTACATCTGCCCCGATCAAATGTGTAATAATACGATTTGTAAATCATTTTCAAATAAATTAATTTTGCGATTTATTATCCAGCACGGCTACATTTTCGGTTCGAAATCATGTTATATCAAACTGCCAGCAAATGACTGTTTCTTTTAGTCACTCCGGCCTGGAATCTTTGGTATCAAGAACCAGTCAATACCTCCTGCAAGAATCAAGGCCAACACTATCGGCTGCAACACGGCAACGCCAGCACTCGTGGCAATGACACCAGTAATGGACGGGAAAATGGCACCACCAGCCTGAGCCATGACAAAGATGAAGCCGAGGGCCGCTGCCTGTGAGCTCTTGGGGAGCAGCTTGGAGGCCACCGACATGCCAGTGGCGAAAAAGGGGCCAAACAAGAATCCCATGACACTGAGAGCCGTCGCACTGGCAATGACATTGGGCTGCAACCAAAATACGAGCTGCAGCGCCGCACAGGCAACGCTGTATATGAGAATCATTCTCTGCTCGCCAAAGCGAAAGGTTGGCTCGGCCAGCAGGATCCGGCCCAGAAACAGGCCGCCGGAGAAGCCTGCAGGCACGTAACCCATTTGTGCAATGTCGCCGCCGCGCGACGTGGTGAGAAACTCGACCACCCAGCCGCTCGCCGTCATGGCAGCGCCCAGCTCAAAAAAGTAAAAGAGACTCAGCAGCCAGACGACCTTGAGCCGCAGGAGACTGCCCATTTCTAGCATGGCAACCTTGGTCTTGCGAGCGCTGCCGCCGCCCTCTGTCTGGTGTCCCTCTGCAGCCGCGCGCCGGCTCCAAAAGCTATCACCAAACGCCACCACGACGCCCGCGAGATTCAAGACGCCAATGCCCACGAGGCCAAAGTAGACCAGACGCCAGCCCTCGACGCCGCCATAGATGCCAGGAGCCTGGTTGGCGACGCCCGTGGCAGTCAGGGGACCGACAAAGGTGCCCAGGGCGTAGCAGGCGTGGATGAAGCTGAGCCAGCGGTGCGGGACATTTTCGAGTCCGCCGACAAAGGCGTTGGAGTGGCTGTCCTGGTAGGCCATGCCCAGGGCCTGGATCGAAAAGGTTGCGCAGAATTGGGCAAAGCCGCCACGAGGCCGTAAACATTGTGCCAGCAGTTGGAGTGCTGCTCCTGCTCCCAGGAGTTGTCCCAATGTCAGGTGGGCAGTCAGAATCGGGTTTGTCAAGGCGGCAACAAGCCATCCGGCAAAGGTGGTACCATAGCTGTGGTTATTAGTATTGAAGCTGTAGAGGATCTGTCATGTAGCTACTCACATGATGGCGACATCTCCAGTGCCAATGCCAAAAGCCTCGAGCATGTACGGGATCAAGGGTCCCAAAGTTCCATCATTGACCCCGGCACAGAAAAAGGAAAAGCCGGCAACAATCAATTTGAATATCGGAGCTGCAGCATGAGCATCCACGGCATCAAAAGGTGGCGCCTCTGGTGGTGGTATAGAAGCCTCGACATCCGTTTGCTGCGGTCCATCATGCAGCCGAGTCAAGGGGATATGCTGAGGCTCAGCAGCCGTGGTCTGTGTCATTGTTGCCATGATTGCTGCAACCGTGTTTATCTCGTTTAAGAGGACATTTTCGTGTCTCGATCCAAGCCAGAGATGCCTCCCTTATATCATTCAGATCATGGGTGTCATTGTACTTCGGTAGAATGTCGGTTCATGTTTGTTTGCATATGCTGATCAACGGGCCGTCATCCCCGTGGGTGGTCAAACTAGAGAAGATTTGGTCATGTCGCGTTTTGTCCAAATTGGGAGATGTTTGGTAGTCTGGCGATGCCTGGATTGCTGTCACCTGATGCTCGATGAGATTCTGGTTGGAGCTGGTAGATTTTGGGTACAACATTGCCATTGACATGTTGGCAGATATGCTGATTGACAATGCGTCGATATTTCTGCCGTCTTACACTACATACAGCAAACGGGATTGTTCTCTGGCAGGTAGATGGTGGAATATCGTGACTCGGACGCCAAGATGCTTTCATGTACAAGCTTTATTTATTCTCGTCCTCAACGCGGCAAACAATATCGATCCTCGATCGCAATCCATGCCCTCTTTCTTTTCCTGTCCGTCACCTCCTTCCTCACCTCGATCCTCAAGGGATCGCAAGCAATGAAAGAACAAAGGTCTCCCTCGACAAGAGGTCGCGTGTTGTGCCAAAAATTCCCTACCCAGCCGAAGCCAAATAGGAGTGGTCATAGTTATAGTTTTCAACTAGCAAAAACGCAGTCTCGGACGAATCCTCACTGACATGCGTAACGCCCGTGCACTAAGATGGGGAGAAAAGGTCAAGAACAAGATGGCCGGCAAATTTGCGAGATTTCGTTTTGTAGCTGGGAATGGTGGGGGATCCACCCGCCTAGTGCGAAACAATCTTCCGTTCCGACCGCGCCCCACATGGTTCGGGAGAGTTGCTTTGGAGTCACTATCGCTAAAGCTCCAAGGCCTATTGACACTATCAGCGCGCCTGGGGGCTTACGAGCGCTGTTGATGCCAGAATCAAGCAACAACTGCATCATTCATCACATGACCATCAAAGAGCTCTTGTCATTCCGAGGGATGAAATATTGAAATACGATAGAAATTAATTCGAGTCACTGTGGAGTTGAACACGTCTCCCATCATTGTTCCTTATCAGTCAATTGGGCTCGTATCAGTTCCAAGGCCACCAACTACACAGTACAAGGCACCCTACTAAAGTCGCTGGTATCACGGGCACCACAAACCGGCCAGCTAAGCTTCAACCTTGACCATCAAGTCTCTCGCGCCCTTTTTGTTTTCCCTCCCGTCCTTGTCACGACACGCAATGAAGTGGGCACGATGGGTGCCAGCGACTCCAAGCTAGTGTTCAAAAAGGGCATCTTTAGGTTATCAGAAGAGCGCCACATACCTGCCGACGATTCATACTGGACCTCGGTATGTAGAGTGTTGACTTGCTGTCCCGTGTATCTGCTTACTGGTGATAGTTTTGGGAACTTCCAGAGGCATCCGAGGATATTTTCAGCCTGTTCTCGGCTGCCGACGTGCGACGGACACGAGACAATGCGCTGGAGAATCTAGAGACTTTGATACTGGCCGTCACCTCGCGACTATTCATTCTTCGGCATCACCCTTCGTTTCCCGACCCCGAACTTGCGCCCGAGAGAGATGCGCTCAACTGCGTCCGTGTTCTCAACCGCATCATACCATATCTATACGAGGCCGATCATTTGCAAGCATGGGAGGAGCAGTTCTTTTGGGGCACGAGGCGGAAACGGACCAGACGAGCCGCCATTCAGAATGAGGTCTTGTTCGATGAAGCCCAAGCCGACGACGGCGAGCCCAAGACGCCCGTGACCGAGTTTGAAGAGACGAAACCCCTGGCCGAAGAGCTTATAGACACATTGATTGACCTCCTCTTCTTTTCCGACTTTACCGTCCCCAGACAACCACACGGTAAGCCCAAGGTCACTTATGCGATATGGCAGAGCGGTGTCGGCTGCAACACGACCGTGCCTACGACCAAGGAGCATGAGAGCAACCGATGCGAAATCCTACGACTACTCCTTACTCTCACAAGTCAGGGCATGTACATGTCGCCCAGCCTATTGCCTACCAAGGGCACGAGATCATTGACGTACATTTGTACCTGTCCGGACAAGCAGGTTGTCTTGTCCGTGCTCTGCTCCTTGCTCAACACGGTATGTCTACGGTTCCGTGGTTCTTGACCAACATGGTTCTTGACTAATATTGTACAGACACTCAAGTACAATCCCGCGACATGGAAGGTGCCGTATAATACGCTGGTATTCAAGGACGAAAAGCAGATACTCGTCACCTATACTCTGCAACTACTGCTCGTGATTCTTCTCTACCCGATACCCGAGCAGGTTGGTGGATCGACGCCAAAGAACTACTATCGTCATTTTCTCGGACGGCTGCATAGACCTCAGGATTTTCAATTCATTGTCGATGGCATGACTCGAATTCTCAACCAGCCCTTTCACGCCAACAACTCGTACATTCCCGGCGCGCAGTCCACCACAAAGTTTTCTCCAGAGATTATCATGCTCTTTTGGGAGATTACGCAATGCAATAAGCGCTTTAGAGCCTACATGATTGATACCGAGAGAGCTCACGATTTTGTCATTTTGATTCTCTACTATGCAACGGAATACAAGACGGACGCTTCAAAGCAGGGTGTCGTTCGCATGTGTGCATTCCTGCTGCAAACACTGAGCGTAGAGCCAAAATTCGGCATCAACCTCAACAAGGCTTTTGATGGACAAGATTTGCTTCCCCCCGTCATACGGATTCTCAATTTTAGAGGAACATATGCCGATTACTTGATACAGGTGAGTTAAAAGTCCTGGTGAACCTCGTCAGGCGATGAAATCTTTGGTGAACCTCGACTAACACTTGCCAGTCCATTTACAGTCTAATCACCACGAGCCAAGGAAAGCTGTCTGCCATTTATCCTGCTCTACTCGCAGTCATCAACAATGTTTCTGCATATCTCCAAGGCATCAACATGACTACGTGTTCGAAATTGTTGCAACTGTTTACGTCCATGTCATCTCCATCGTTTCTGTTGGCAAATGACAGCAATCATGACTTGTTGAGTTCACTACTAGAGTCAATGAATACCATTATTGAACATCAATACAAGGGTATGTTTTGCCATTTATTATTCTCGTTCTTGCTAACTTTTTAGCCAATCCATATTTTGTATTTTCCATCTTGAAGAACAAGAAGCGTTTCGAGGCGTTGCGCTCATTTACGCTAGAGAGCGGTCAAGAGGAGATTGAACGACGTAACCGACGAAGAAAGGAAGACGGACAAGCAGCCGATCCATTCGACATGAGCAGAAACTCGGTCGACAGTATAGCAAGTCCCACTACTACACAATCGCAAACGCCCACGTCTGGCCATGCTGCAGAAGAGGACGGCACCTTTGCGATTGGTGACGATGACAGCGAGGACGAGGAAGAGCGCCCAACGCCCGCACAGTCGAGTCCAAGCGAGAATCCGTCTCGAGCGTCCTCCGTGGTGAGCACTGATGATGCTGTGCCCTCGCAACTTCGGGGCATGTCGGAAAAGGCCAGGGGCAAGATGCCTGCCGGTGTTGCTTCCTTTTCCCGGCAAAATAGTGTCACCAGCCTGGGCAGCTACTCCATGGCAGGCCAATCGACTACTGGCGCCTTTGAACCTTCGGCACATTGGATTGAAAGCTGGCTGCCAGAGTTGCCACTTCACACCATTCTGACCGTCATTCAGCAATTGACTGCTCTCATAACAAGACAAGGACTTGGCACGGATAGCCCATCCAATGCAACACTCAAGGCTATCCGTGATGCAGATTTGGTTGGCATAGAACCCTCGGCAGTTCGGGTCCATTCATTCGAGTGGACGCCCATGGCTTTGGGTTGGTACGAGTCCTTGGTTTGGAGTTTTGTATTTGCCAGTGAGATGCAAATCGCCAAGGGTACCGTGGGCATCTGGAATGGAACCGCCATCAAGCTATTCAAGGTACAAGAGACGGCGCCCGAAGGTCCAACATTGACCTCGCCGCGTGGAGCCGTGGACGCAGTGGGAAGTAACATTGTATCAAGAATTGGAGCCATGAACTTGCGGGGACCCGTCACGGGCAATGTGGGTAATATCCAACAGCCATAGATGTGTTGTAGAATTGCAGAAGCATCAATGTACCATGTGCATTCATATCAAGTTTGCTCAATTATTATTACTTGCGTGTTACTCGACGCCATACTTTTCTTGGTATCCTCGCAATATTTCCAACGAAATGTTTGCACCGCCGCATACAATCAAGACGACATTCTTTCTACTCCACTCTTCATCCGAGAGTCCCTTGCCCAACCATTTTCTTAGCTCACCATTGTAGACGGGAGCAATAGTGGCACCGCAGGCAGCCTCGACGAGGAGCAGAGCGTCATTGACAAGCTTGACAGAGCCCATGACGGCCTCGGCATCAGTCACGACAATGCTGGTCAAGTGGTCCTTTTTGCTCCACTCAAACGCCTGCTTGGAAACGGTTGGCGCCCCCAGACTCGTGGCTATGCTGGTAATGGCGGGCAAGGTGACCAATTCGCCAGCCTGAACACTGGCATGGAGACTCTCGGCGCCGACGGTCTCGACCACTAGCACCTCTGGCTTCTTGCCCCAGTGCTGGCTAGACTGCTGCTCGACGCCGTCCATGATGCCGCTGAGCAGGCCGCCGCCTCCGCAGTTGCAGACGATACCATCGGGGCCTTGCGGGCCCACGCCCAGGGCCGCGAGCTGCGGCACCAGCTCCTCGACAATGGTGGCCGCGCCCTCCCAGAGGTGCGGGTGGTCAAAGGGCGGGACGTAGACGCCCGTGGGGTCCGCGGCCAGCAAGACGTTGCGCAGGTACGCGTCGGCCTCGGCCCAGTGGGCGCCCGTCCTGACGACATCGGCGCCGAGCAGCTTGAGCTTGTTCATCATGAAGTCGGAAATGAGCACCGGCACGACTATGGTGCAGGGCTTTCCGAGGGCCGTGGCCGCCGTGGCGCACGCCAGACCGGCGTTGCCGCCCGAGGAGCAGTAAAAGTGCACGTTGCCGCCTGGGTTGGCCTTTGTGGCGCGCAGCATCATGTTGCCCACGCCGCGCTGCTTGAAGGAGCTCGACGGTTGGAGGTTTTCTAGTTTGAGAAAGATATTGCTGCATCATGTTAGCTGGATGTTTTCAAGCACCCGTTTCGAGGAAAACTGACCATCCGGCTGCCCGCGACATGGCCGTCGATGGGATTAGAGGCGTCTCTATCCAGAGCTTTTCAGCTGGACGATCGGGAGTGTATGAACCCATGATGTATAGACTTGATGTCTGATTTGACGAGATGGGTCAGGGTATCTTTTGAGACTGAAAGCAACAGAAATCTACTGTATTCAAAATCGAGTCTGATACCAAAACAGATGAAATATCGCAGGAACCGTGACTTGTCCTGTAAGATGAACTGAAAAATATAGAAAGGAGATGATCAAGACCCGAGGAGGTTGCAGAGGTTTATAGTCTGATACTGCTGCAGTAGTCAAGGCCAATCCTAGTGCTGATACAAGTGGATCTAAACGACCAAAGGGCGTAAAAAAGCGGCACAAACTGATAACAAGACCGACTGTTATACCTACCTAGTCATGCATGGTTACACAATTGAGTAATTCAATCAAGACACTCGAGTGTCTACAAGATCGTGTATACAAACACTCTTGATTATACGCCGACAACCTTTTAGAATGAATTCCCTTTTTACTACCAATCCGCGACTTGCCGATACAAGCCGTAGACACTCTTGAGGCAGGTGTGTGTAGTTTTTTTGAGTTTGACAAGGAAAAAGACTATCGCAGCCGCGTTTTCATTACCCTACGATTACCCTATACTCGCAGTAGAGGGATTATGCCGTGTATAATGGTGACGAGTGAAATGATCATGAGATGCACAAGATCCATCAATTGGCTCGTCGGGCACATGTCTTTACGTACGAGAATGAATAATAATAGGTCTGACAATACAGAATCAAAGTTTACATGCTCAGATCGTCTATTGACTTTTTTCTTGATAGAGTTGCATTTTCGAACGCGGTATGACTTGACGTATTGGTCAGTAAGTCTTGTAATGGTGTCTGAACTCCGTATCTGCCCGTTATACCTTGTATCCAGTGGATCGTATGCCACGAGTCCCTGCGTATCCGTTGCTAGTCGTCATGTTTAAGCCGGTCAGAAATGCCGGCAACGGTCGATTGCATGTCTACCGGCATTTCTCGAGTGATTGCCTTGTCCACCACTCCGATTCCACGCCTCTTAGAGATACCTCAGATTCTGACTAATGGCGACCCATTTCCTCAACCCCCTGGGCGCATTCCTGCCCTGCGCCTCCCAGTGCGGGACCAAGACAAAGGCATCATTAAAGCCCCGGACAACCGCCTCGTCTCCCTTGCCGAAACGGACCGTGCCGGCAACCTGGAGCGAGAGGCTGAGCTTGTCGCCGCGGTCGCTCTGGACCTCGGGGTCGGTACTGCCGAGGACATAGTGCGGGTTGACGGGGTGCGCGTCGACGCTGAGCACGTCAAAGTGGACCGGATGCCCTTGCTTTTCCAGCAGGTCCTGGAACTCTTGCACGGCGCCCGACGCCGAAGAGCACACGTGCCCGTTGATGCTAATGTCGGGCGTCAGGCCTGCTGCCGTCAGCCGCGCCGAGGTGGACGCGTAGAATTGCGACAGGCCCTGGGTGGGTGAGCTGCTGCGGTGAGGCTTGTTTAATGTGTCGTAGTAGTATTCTACGAATCGGTCGGCGGCTTTCTACGTGTCAGTAGTGATTCAAGGGCTGTATAGGCAGCAAATATGAGTTTGATACTGGTACTTGCCTTCGCTCGCAACCTTGACTTGCGTTTCTACACTTGGAAGTGGCATGTTCTGTTGCCTTTTAGTAACGAGCTAGTTGGTGATTATGAAATCAATAGCTTGAGATGCGATTGTGAATAATGGCGAGTATTGTCCAAGAAAGTACTGATCAACTCGTTGCCTGGCTGACATTTGTTTTGAGAAAAGTTCGAGTTTAATTTCGGACACGTGCTTTCCAGTAATACCTTGATATCAAGCAGGTGCAATTTGGTCAAGATTATTTTTTGATTTTATAAGACACTAAAATTCGTGTTCGATTTCAAAAGTGATTCAGACGTTGGGCACTTGATTAGTGAATAATATATATACAGATCCTGCTAATCACACCTGGCCATCTGCCAATACTTGACGTCACGGCCACTGTGCAATGGTATCTATACATTTCCCATGATTCACAACATTTCTAGTATGATGGCACCCTGTTGTTCACATTTATACTTGATCCTTGTGAGTCACTCACGAACACAAGTTTGCCGAGATGTTCAAGGTGCATTGTATTCTAGTCACTGGTCAAAAACACATTCCCCGCACAAATGATTTAAACTTTACAGTGGCTCAACCGGGAACAAAAGAAAACACACGCGGATCACGCCCGTGATTAGGACGTATAAAAAATCAAACCAGACAAGAAATTATCAAATTCACAAAAAGATTCGGCTCAGACCGGATGGATTTGAACCATGCCCGACTTGAACGGACGACCTTCTGGATGTCCCATGAACTGGAATCAGATGCTCTACCACTGAGCTAATGGTCCGGTCTTTGTTGGAGATGGGGCCGCTTATAGTGGTCTATGTCGCCGCGCTGATAAGAAATTGAACATCTCCACCTATTCTATTCACTCGTCGACAACCACGAAAGCATTTCATGAATGGATATACCGTCATTTGTTCTCTGAATAATCACAAGTCGAGACTGGAATGGTTAGCAGAAATGAAATGGTAAAATAGTGATTATAATAATTATATGACTAAATGTTAATTTAAAAAATGTATAATACTTTTCCCACTAATAGTGTAGATATAGGAAACTTTATACAATATACAACTGGCATTTTATTCGTTTCAACACGACCAATGTCAATCATGTTTCACGAGCCGACTTGGTAATTGTCCAGATACTTGTAAATTTAGATTGGATTAGCTGTTTAATATTGCTACTTTTTTGCCTTTCCCTTTCCCTTTCCCTTTTCAGATTCATTTGGCACTTGCATCAAGCCTTCGTAATGATTCATTATTGGAACATGGCTGCCACCGCCATTGTTCGCCCCGGCATTATCGTTGTAGATGAATATAGGGTAATAGTCTGAGCTGTCACCCAGCCAGAGGAAATTTGCCTGGCCAGACATGACAACCACACTGCCTAGACCTGTGTTGATTCCAGACGTGTTGACATTGTTATCTGTTGACCATCGTGACAAAATGGCGTATAATTGATCATAGCCCCAGTTGCCACTGGCAGTAGAGCCCGTCAATCCGGCCGCCCCAACAACATTCCACAGCCCTTCACCTTCCAAAGTGGTGGCAGTGGCCATGAAGTCTGCAAAAGTCGGAAAGTTTACTCCAGCTGGGAGATCAGTAGCAGGAAATTGGTGCTGCACGCTTTCGACGAGTGCGCGTACTGGGGGAGGATTAGCCTTCCGCATCAATATAATCAAGGGAATCTTTACTTACTACCACACTGGGCGTTTGTTCCGGGTGTCATAATTCGTCGGTATCCGCTTGGGAATGCGGCATTATACCTGATATTGACCCAAAGACCAGTTCCACTGAGACTGAGAGTACCGCCTGGTCCGCCTCCGCCTCCTCCTGGTCCGCCTCCTCCTGGTCCGCCTCCTCCTGGTCCGCCTCCTCCTGGTCCGCCTCCTCCTGGTCCGCCTCCTCCTGGTCCGCCTCCGCCGCTGCTTACGTCATCTCCGTCATCTCCATCATCTCCTCCCCCTCCTCCTCCACCACCACTGGGAGGCGGAGGAGGAGGAGGGGGAGGAGGAGCACTGTAAAACCAATTCTCAACCCAGGTATTGATTTGAGCATCAGTCTCTCCAGGAAATATATTAGGACCAATCTTTTCCTTGGCTTGGTCGAGAAGTTCGTTCAGATTCGGTCTATGATGAGGACAATGGTACAAACACCTAAAGATTGTCCATCTGAGATCTTGATCTACCGACGCAAAGGGATCCGCCGGAGAGTCAATACTGTCGCACAAGATAGCGCAGTATGAGATTGGCCCATTGTAGCCGACATTTTGGAGAATTGTATGGTATTGTGATCTTGGTGTACTTGCGGTGATATGGTGGTTCTGGTCTGGAGGAAACACGGGCTTTGGAGGGCTGGGCGGGGCGAGACCGGTAATGAGCATCCACATGTTCTGTATCATGCTGGTTTAGTCATGAGCTTGTAAAAATCAGGACTCGTAGGTGCAAGAAAAAGGCATATACCCAAGCAATCTGCCATATGTTTGTCTTGAAGCTGTAGCTTCCAGCCACGTCATCTTCTCCCACATCGTCGTCACTGGGATTCCCATTCAAGGTCCTTTTTTTTTTCCAGCCCGAGATCAGTATCATTCTCTTGTACCAAGAAGAGTACGAGTTGGACCTACTCCCATTCTGGGCCAAATTGTTCCTTGATGAAATTTAGTCTACGGTTCATCCACTTTGTATAAAAAATACTTACAGGTGGCGCAATAAAGACTTTACCATTTCTTCTTCTCCGATGATAATACCGACTGTCATTTGCAGTGAGAAGACGAAAACTTGAAATATCAAGTGTTGATGTTTGAACAACCTACTTTTTCTTGTAAGATTTGATCCTTTCTGCTAGGCCAAAGTCTGCCAACTATAATAGAGTCAGTATGAAAAGTAATTATTGACAAGGCTATTATCTTGCCTTGAGTCTTGGGACAAAGGCGTGCTCTTGCGCTTGACGATCCGGCCGAGGCGGTGTCGAGGGTATAGATTCGATCGGTTTTCCCTCCTTGTACAACCCCTTTTTGATACGCTCCCCCCATCTCAGGAGAGCTTCCGGGCTCAGCTCGAAACCTCCAATGAGGACTTGTACAAGAGTCAGCACAAGGACAAGTTTCAACTTGCAGTCGCTTACTATTGTTTGGGTCAAGGTCAAAGTGAACCGTATTCTCGCCACGCTCGCAAAGCTCATTAGTCTCTGGTAGCTCCTCAATCAAGTCTCCCGCTAGATCCGTATGGCGGTTTACTGCGGCTGGACTGTATTGCCATGACCGAACGTCGAGAACGCTTACAGCACGCAGCAGGCGGTTGCTTCTCGCGTTGGTCGCATCGTATTCGGCGTGTGGTAATGGGTCCTGGTGGCGAAGACGGCGACTTCTTCTCAACGTGCCGGGAGGCGGTGCCCGTTCTGATCCCAAGAATCTTCTCGCCGGGTTTCTACGGTTGGGGTGAAACATGTTTGGTGGATACTGGAGACCTACGACCCCCCTGACCACTAATCGATCCATCAGTCACATTGTAAACATGGAGTCTGCGATTTTAACTTACGACACAACCAGAATGCCCATAGGACCCTGTTTGGGGGTGGGTTAGGATCAGCCCTCTCTGTCCGCCGCTTGATAAGTTCGGAGAGGCTGCCATTCTCCATGTATTCGAGGAGAAGCCAATCATCGTTTGGGTTTGGATTGGCACTCATCCACGCATCGTACGCTTGCCTCCTGCTTTCATGGGCTCTATTCTTGGCATCATCCTCAAGCCAGGAACGATTTCTTCGCGGCCTCCGTACCCGCCATGGCCGCGGATCCCCGACACCATCGTCATCATATTCGGTGAGTTGGTCATCGGAAGAGTCATCGCTCAAGGGCTCTGGCGGTCTCGTAGGGCGAGCTCGAAGTCCCGGAACATCGTATAGTTGAATAGAGTGTGCTGCCTGACGTTGTCTCTAATTTTTTCAGGGATTAGGTTCTTTTATTCATCTCCAGTGTGATGAAGGAGCAACTTGCATATGTGGCTCTCCGCTCGCCCACAAGACTTTCAGCCCCTCTCGCATTCAAGCCAATTTTTGATACAATATCCCTATCTACACCATTGACGTTGTGCTTGTAGTGCACGGCCATAGCATAGCCTCCACGTGCCAATACCTTGATAGGCGTCCACTGCGGAGCTTGTTGGTCGAAATATAGAGTCTTGGTGTTGAGTGCAGTTTGCAAGTTGTAATTTGCGTCAGCTGGAGGAAGAGGAGGACCCAGCAAATTGTTACCGGACAATATTCGAGGTCCATGCTGCCATGTTTTGGGAGCTTTTACCTGAATGTCTTGGAAGATCGGCAGTCTATTTGCGCGAGGCACATTATGGAATCCTAAATTGATGTAGTCGGCCTTTGACTGGACACCAGCCAAATTCGCCGGCCGGAATGGATTTCTACCCGATTTTCTGAATTTATAAAAGAGATAGTTTTCCAGGCGGACTTCATTCTTGTATGCCTCCATTATGGATTCTTGCCCGTCTGCTTTGGAGTGTTCAAGAGTTCACGACGAGACAATGGGTAGGAATTACTGAGCCTGTGAAAAGGCCACCACCGTAAAAATGTTCAAGTTTCTCTAGTGTTTTCGCTATCAAACAAGAGACAAAGAACCTGCCATTTCTGTTCGTTTGCAGGTCATGATCGCGTCCGAGACATTTCGAGTCTAGACCAATGCATCCGCTTTCAGAGATATGGAATGTATATTTTTAGCTCGTCTTGGCACATGGTTCATCATTATACCGATCGTGGTGGTTTACTATTGGAAACGGTTACGATTAATACATGGTTACTCTTGTGAAAATTGAATTCCATGTAAAACTCGAAATTCACAACGAGTCTCTTGAATCATCTCGAACCAGGGCAATACGACAAACATGAAAATGTATACACGTCTATTTATTAAAGCAACTGAATGACTATTAGATTCGTGCCAAGATCCTCCATCTTTACTCGTGACAATGTCCGGGGGATTCAGATTCTATACTTCCCCCGGACTAAGAGAGAGCAAATTAGCTGCCTCAATCGGATGCAAGCCTTCATAATGACATTGTGCCATCGGCATACCCGAACCCGACCAATTGCTGTAGATATAGACTGGTCTCCCGGCAGCATTCGCGGTTGGGACCAGATAGGGTGCGCCAGTGGGCAGCATCACGACCAGCTGCAACAAGACACCGTGAGAATCGCCCCAACGTTCGAGAATAGCTGCCAGCGTGTCTGCCGTGTAAAACCTGTCTGGGACCTCGACGCCGGCGGCTATGGCCGCGTTAAAGACTCCCGTAGCATATAGTTGACGGTAAATGGCCTGAAGATCGCTCATTGTGGGACGAAAAGCACCGGCAGGCAACATTGCCGAGGGTATTTGGACCCTAATGCTATCTGCCACTGCTTGTACTGTGTAATTGTCAGCCTCTTGTGCCATGACTTGGAAAGGATTATACTTGCGTCCACATTGCTGCTCTCCAGCCACGTTGTGAATTTTCTGGGCTCCATGGGGGTAATCGGTTCTGAATCGGTCCAGAAAGGCTTGCTGAGCAGGAGTCAGAGGAGGAAGACCGGCAGCATTGTTGAAATATCCACCACCGTGTGAACCACCGAATACAAAGGCGGCACCATCCAATTCCATACCGCCGCCTCCATGATTGCTACTCTGGTAATGGGTAAGGCTCTCCACAAATTCATTAGGAGGCGGAGGAGGCGGGGGCGGAGGAGGAGGAGCAGGAGCATTATAAAACCATTTCTCTACCCAGGCGCGAACTACTCCATCATCTTCACCAGGTATCCCACCTCCCACTTTTCCCATGGCTTGCGAGATCAGTTCGGCAAAGTCGGGTCGATGATCTGGGTTGTGATACATGCACCTGTACAAGGTCTGTCTCAAGTCCAAATCCACCCAGCCAAAGGGGTCGTCTGGTTGCCTGACGTTTTCGCACAATTTATAGCAATAAGAGATTGGACCACGATAGCCAGCTGATTCGAGAATCTGGTCATACTGATCTACAGGTGTATCATCATTGATCAAGTGTCGATAATTAGGTGGTATCTGAGGTTGAGGAGGCATGGGCGGTTTTTGCATTGTGATAAAACACCACAAGCACTTGATAAGTCAGTATCATGGTCATGATGGAAAAGGTGCATCATACCCAGGCGATTTGCCAAATGTTGGTCTTTCTACTGAAGCTTCCGGGGATTTGAGCCTCTCCTATATCGGCATCGTTTGGTAAATCCGACGCCATGCTTTGATCATCGTTAGTAATGTTTCTTGATGAATGGTGTTATACATACTCCCACTCTCGCCCAAATTGTTCCTGTCACGAATTAGTCCATGATTTTACTGCTTCCCAAGAAAACCTACAGGTGCCAGAAACAACCTTTTGCCGGAGTGTCTACGAGACCAGTAATATATGCTATTACTAGTCAGTACAGGTTCTGATATAAATCTCATGCCAGACTCACTTTCGTTTATAAGTCTTGACCCTGTCTGCAATACCAAAATCGGCAATCTAAATCAGTCAGCATGGGCCACAAGGTGCAAAAGGTTTCTGACCTTGAGTCTCGGAACAAAGACGTGCTCGTTTTGTATACGACCCGGGTGAGGTTCTTTATTGGAAGGCATCGTCCCCCCCGGGCCCCTGGTCCTCGAGATATGAGCACCCCAGTCTTGAATCTGCTGTGCAGACATTTCAAAGCCGCCAATGAGAACTTGCCAGGTCAGTAGGTATCAGAAAAAAGCAACAAGATTGCATACCATTATTGGGATCGAGATCAAAATGGACCACGTTTTCACGGCGGCGCAATAGGTCATCTTCTGCGGGTAGTTCTTCGTTTAAATCATCTGCATATCGCCTAAAGGACTCCATGGCCTGGTCGTATTGTTGCTGCCACCAGAGCGGAAGACCGAGGCGATTGACATCCTGCATCATGTGCATGATCCCCGCCCGTTCTCCGTGGACTGAGCCCGGGTCTGCGGGCAAACTCCCTTCTAAACGCCGGCTTCTTCTCATGATGCCCTGCCGGCGATGCTCTTCTCGAGCGGCGGGATCACCCTCGGGCCGGCCAGGCGGTGGTCTGCGATTAGGATGAAACTTGCTTGGTGGATAATCCATGCCTATACAACCTCTCACCACTGGAGAGCTCATTAGCTGGGGGACGACAAGTGTTTTGAATTTACTCACGGCACAACCAAAAAGCCCACAAGACTCGATTGGGAGGACGGTCGGCCTGGTCGTGGGTGGAACGCTTCTTGATGAGCGACGACAGGCTGCCATTCTCCATGTACTCGAGAAGCATAAACTCTAGCTGGGACTCGACATCCTCCCGGTTTCGCCTTCGACCGCCAGCATTGATAAACGCATCCGCTCTCCTGTCGTGGTCGGCTTTGCTACGGTCCCAATATCCCGGCAGTCGCTGGCCCCGTGGCATTCTCAATTCCCGCGGGCGAGGATCGCCGGCTCCTTCGCCGTCATAGTCGGACAGCTCGTCGTCTGACGAGTCGTCAGAGACGTTGGGGTCCCTGGTGTATAGATTGCCTCCAATTTGTAGACCGCCGGCTAGTCGGGGCGGTATAATCTGGACCGAATGTGCTGCTCTTCTTTGTCTCTGTTCTTTCATGATTAGTGTCGGCGGCTTGAGCCACTTGGAATCATCATACCAGCGTGGCTCGCTTTTCATCCTGCAATGATTTAGAGAACCAATCACGGAGGTCAATCTTCATGACGACATTTCGAGCATTCCCATCCAGGTCATGCCGAAAATGTATAGCCATACCCTGACCTCCCTTGGCCAGGATCTTGACTGGAGTCCACGTCCCTTGTCCGTGTCGATTAAAGTAGCCAGTAATGCTTCGCAGTCGCCTTTGATACCTGTGATTCACGTCATCGTCTGGGAGCTGACGACCCAGGATTCTAGAGAGCCCCTCGTTGTTGGCATGGTCTTGATACCAGTGCGTAGTTGGTTCATCCGAGGCAACGAACAACTTGGGTAGAGCTGGTGCGGGGACTTGGATATCGCGCCAATCTTCTGAACTCAAGTCGGCATTTGGGTTGTCGTGTGCTCGTCGGAAATTTCTAAATGCTTGAGTAGACCACCGCACATATCTCTTGTAATTAGGAACGTCGATGCGGTCGTAGCCTGCGGCGGCCATCTTGAAAGGACGTTTTTGCAAGGTGAGAGTCGCCAAGATGGGCAGAATTCGAAAAGGCAAAGGCATCTGACAATTCAATTATTTTGCCCGTCTCGTATTGATACACCTAGATGCAGTCTACTAAAAATGAGACAAAGAAAGTGTACGAGACACCGGTTGCAGCACACTGCGCCCGAGACATTTCTAAAAGGCCCTTGTAGTCCGTTTTCAGGTCTGGAATGTGTCTATTTTGGACATTTTGATTAATCCATTCAAGGGAATGTATCTAGATGCCTCGTATGCTGTAAAATAACATTACATTATCATCAGTGGGTATCGTATATGCACACTTGGGCCAAACACGCCTCAAAGAAATCCCACAGCCATGAGATGAGATCAAGAACTCAATGGCGACTCGACTGGTTTCATTCCCGGGCTTGAACCAGCCAAAGTATCCTCACTCTTGGCCGTCAATTTTGCTTCCTGTTCCTCGGCATCAGACGCCACTCTTGTCTCTTCGCTTATCTCCCGATGCGGCTGCCCTCGTTCTTCGGGAATGGGGGCCAAGAGACCGTCTATCGTGTTGATTTTGGGTTGAGCGGGTGCTTCTTTTTCGGATGCCGGACTTGAAGGCCGAGGAACCGTCTCTGCAGCCTCGCCCGTAGCATTGTCGGGGTCTGGTCCAGTAGCACTCTCGTCTCCTACGACGACCTGCTGCAACGGAACCGTGTCGTCTGCCCGTGGTTGAAACATTGAATCCAGCTTAATGACCTCTTTTGCCAGACCTTGTACTCCATTGAGAATGAGCTCGGGTCGTTCCCAAGCCAATAGACCGGATTTTCCATTGGCTCTGTGTGTGTAGAGGACGTGATATCTAGCATTTGCCCAGCTGGGACATGAATAGGCTTCCTTGTCTTGCACTTGAATCTTCTTTTGCGCTTCCACGTCTTGGGTTGGACCTGCAGGGGCCTCGGGAGCTTGAGCCTCGCCCTGTCCATCGGCCGGCGTCTCGGCTTGCTCGTTAGCTGGCGCCTCGGCTTGTGCTTCGGTCGGAGGCTCGGGCTGAGGCTCGGGCTCCTCATCGCCGAGAAACACGGTTATGCCAATCTTGGGTCGAGGCGGAGCCTTTTTCATAGTCGTCTCTGGATGCTGCAGACAATACGACCAGAACCTCATGGCCGCCTCGGGCCCCGGCAACCACGCCAATTGTGTAAAGGTGATGATCTCTGCCGGAGTGAATTGCCTCTTTGGCCCCAATGTCTGCAGGCTTTTCAATGCAAAGACGAGCAGTCCAGTCGGCGAGTCGCACAGGGCATAGGCCAGCGTATTGGGCTCTCGGAGACCTAATTGGTTCAGACCAAACTGTGCCGTGACGGATTTGCTACCCTTCTTTTCCGGCCGACTCCTTTCAAGCGCCGAGAAATCCTCCTTGACGTATCCCAGCATGGGCATCTTGAACAGACTGGCCAGTGACCATTTTGCCCATTCAACGGGCGCCTCTTTCAATTTTGGCTGTGCCAGTGGCGGCGAGATGAAATGGGCACCGCGACAAGAGTCCATGTGCTCGACGGCCAGATAGTTGACCAGTTGCCAATCAATTTCCGCCGGCGAAGCTGATCCCGATCCCAGATTTGTGGCCAAATAATGAGGATATTCCAGCCTGTCCATTAATGAATTAAGCATTTCTCCCGTTGCGGAAATCACGGGCGTATTATTGGGAAGTGCATCGCTAAAGCCCAGACCCGGCAGCGACGGAATGACCAGGTGAAACGGCTGATTATTTGCTGCATCCTCGGGATCGACAAAGACCTTGGTGAGATGACCAAATGACAAGTTTGTAAAAGGAAAAGGGGGTATCATGAGAAGTGGCAAGGCATGAGAATGAGAAGAACGAATGTGAACAAAGTGCAACCTAATCGGCGCTTCGCTTTGGGGAATGGTGAATCCAGTACGGAATTGTGGTAGCTGAGCATTCAGCTCGTCCTCCTTGGTGCGCCATGAATATTCTTCGAGCCTGAATATGTTGGTCAATGCGATTTACTCCTTTTATCCGGTCAACTTACCAGAAATCAATTAATGGCTCAACTTGAGGTTTTGGCTCCCACCAATCCTCCGACTTTGGTTTGGAAGACTCGTGAGGTAATCGAGTAATTTCCAATTTCTCCTTGGTGAGATCAAGGTATCGTGATGAGACCTGTAGTAGAAATAGGCGGCGCGTCAGCCACAAGCGCAAAAAAGATCGACGTTGAATCTATCGAAACGGTAAACGGGGGGAGGCTTGGCGGACTCACATGGATTTGGTATGGTTTAACTTGCTCGCCAGGCGTAGTAGCACCGCCAGCAGTGGGCGTTTCCCCAGTAGAGTTGGCAGCCATGATTCCAACTCTCTTTTTTCCCACACACAACACGTAATTGATGATATTTGCAACAGGAGAAACGAGAATACGCGAGAATTAGAGAAAAAAACACGTCAGGGGAAAGCGAGAGAAAAACAAGCTGGAAAACTCGTCAGCGCATCCACTGTTATGGTGCCGTGAATAATAGATTATCTCTGGGTATTAAGGATGATATGTGGCTTGACCCGCGGGCGCCAGAAGGGCAGGGCGCTGTGGCGAGTAACGAATTTGGTAGCAAAGCAGCCAAAACTGGGCAGAAAGCCAACTTTGGACCCTGGCGAAAAAGGCCTGGACCCTGGATCGAGTGGCGGTGCTGACGACGCTGAACCCTGCTAGAGTTGCTCTGTCCGGAGATGATCTCCAAGGGTCTTGATTATTCCCTGTCGTATCTGTGGCTTTGGACTTTTTTACTGGCGAGTCGCATCTGCTGTGTGATATCAATGGACAGAATAGTGTTGGAGAATTATGTGCTGTTCCGAAAATCTAAAGAAAAGGAGGCAGCCCATGATCAACATGTACAGGTCAGAGGTTCGAGAATATTTTATTCCATCATCCGGTTACAGGGCATTCTCTACTAGATCTGAGATCGAGTCAGATGTGGGATCCGCGTTAGGGGTACAAGCGAGTCCTGACTGGGTATTGGTTCCGACGGGCCGCTGTCTTGAGCGCTTAAGAAGGATTAAGTTTTGATCTAGATTTAGTCTGGCCGTTGGATATCAAGTGCAGGGAGAGAATAGCATTTGCAAGTAATGGGATTCAATACCGACACTGTGGTTCTGGGAATCTATTTCATGGCATGTGATTTCCAAGAGTCAGTCGATTGTCTGGTCCCGCCATTGTATTTTGGCCTGCACCCATGAGGAGGCGGTCTGTTGATGAAAGAGGTATTCAATTCGACATGATCAAGACTGCATGTGTCGTCGCGATGATATTGTTTATTCATAAATGCCTGGGATATTTCATTTATGTAGCATCTGCTCGGCTTGTATGCCAGCTTGGATACGACAAACCCTGGACTCTGTAGTGGACGTCGCCAGGAATACAGGGCCGTCAACATGAGCAGTCGAGTATAAACCATGAATTCACACTGTCTCGGCCGAATCGCCCAACGCCAAGGCGCAACCAAGTAGCAATCATCTCGGCCAATGTGTCGAGACGAAAATAATCACATCTAACAACCAAAAACATGACCCACATTTGTGCGCAATCCGATGGCATTTCACCCTTTGCCCTCTTCTCCACGATGAGCATCTGAACATTTGGCATTTCCCCAAAACAGGACCCTTGCGCTCCATTAAATACCGGGTCGGATCTCCAGAGAGGCAATAGACCGACCCAATTGCATGTCAACCTAACCATCTTTGGCAATGGTATCGCGAGCCATGTCCTCTTTTGCTTGTGTCTCCAAGATCGGATCATGGGTTAGCGAGGGTCCAAGAGTATCTGATCATGGGGAAACCAGAGGAAAGCTATAATGGAATTGCAAAAGGTCGTTGTAATGAAACATTTCTTGACTTGTCGATAGAAAACACTTGTAAAATCTGCGTCTCCATAATCCCACATGACTGAAACAAAAAAGCAACAGCGCTCCGTGCTCATCACCGGCTGCAGCGAGGGTGGCATCGGTCACGCCCTGGCCAAGGAGTTCCACCGGCGGGGACTCCAGGTCTTTGCGACGGCACGGAACCTGGCCAAGGTCGAACACCTGCGCGCCCTGGCCGGGCTCGAGATGATCCAGCTCGACGTCGCCGACCCGGCCTCGGTCCGCGCCGCCGCCGACGAGGTCAGGACGCGCACCGGCGGCGCCCTCGACTACCTCGTCAACAACGCCGGCGCCGGCTACCAGGTGCCCTTGCTCGATGCCGGCCTGGACGAGGGCCGCAAGCTGTTCGAGGTCAACCTTTGGGGTCTACTGGCCGTCACACAGGCGTTTGCTCCTTTGCTGGTGGAATCGGCCGTGAGAGGTGGCAAGCCGCGAGTCGTCAATATCGGCTCCGTCGTCTCTAGGGTGCAGATGCCCTGGGGCGGTCTTTGTTTGTCGTCCAGGAAACATGACGTGACCATACAGGCTGATAATTCACAGACAATGCGTCCAAAGGAGCAATGGCCTCGTTGAATGATGCTCTGCGAATGGAACTACGCCCTCTTGGTGTCGGTGTCTTGCACGTCGTGACTGGAGGTGTTTCCACCAAGTTTTACGGCAACAGCGCCGGCCAGAAGCTGCCAGAAGGCAGTTTGTACTCGCCCATTAGAGCCGACATTGAACAGGCCGTGGCCGGCCACACGGCTAGCACCCTTCAGACCATGACCCCCGAAAAGTATGCTCAAAAGGTTGTAAGCAATACTTTGAGTAGCTGGCCGACCACGACGTACTGGGTAGGAGGATCAGCCTGGAGTAGTTACATGGGCGTCAAGTTTGGCTGGGACTCGATATGTGATTTGATTGTTGGGTACATGACTGGCATGTTGGCGCTGCGCAAAAAGTACTTGGCGGCGACACGGAGCAAGAAAGCATAATTGAATCAAGGAGTCGTGTTGGGGCTTTTGTTTTGCTGAGATACCAATTATTATTCGCTTCATAAGTATTGAATCTATACCGTTCTCAAGACATTAATAAGCGCACGTCAGGTAGAAACCGAAAATGACCTATGAATTGAGCTACTGTCTGGATCGACTCAAATTGTCCATCTGAAAACTGATTCTGATGTATGATTTTCCTTGCTCAGCCCTGACCATTTTCATGCTTTGATTGCTCAAGATGGGTATATTCTCCTCTTCAGGTCCATGATATGCATGTCTAGCAACTCCCCAATCCTCATATTTTGCATCCCTCTGAAAGTAGACACCTCAACTCCCAAAATCCATCTGCCTGAAAACAACTGCCAAAACAAGCCTGCGTGAATCGTCATGATACTCTACAAAGAAGGGCGCTCAAACCTTGATCACATGCAACTAATGTACATACTGTTGGAAATCACCAATTAAGATTGATCCACGGTGTCGTGAGAATCCTCGGTGCCCTCGATAATCATGCCTTGAGCATTGGGCACTCCGACAAGGATCTTGTTGCGAGGAACACGGACATCCTTGACCGACATGCAGCCAAAGACTATCAGCTCTCTGATATTGGGGCAGCTGCGGAAAATGCTGCCGAGAATAAAGTCGCTCACTTGCTCACAAAAGCTAACCTCTAGCTTCTTCATCTCGAGGTAAGTCTTGCTAGGGCCAAAAACGTCCTCGAAAGCCTCCTTGTCAATATGTCGACAGCCGTGGACATTGACACGTCGAAGTGACTTGGCAGAGTGAAGCATTAGAGCGCGGAATGCTTCGGAACAGAAACCCACCTGGTGTGGATTCTCTCGTGGCTTGTTGGCATCCAAAAAGCGACAATCGCGAACGTCGACAAAGCTGAGAGGCTTGTTCTTCCAGTCCTTGAACAGTCGAGCAAAACCAGCGTCAGTCATGACTTCGCTTGAATTGATGCGAAGCTTGTCCAGAGAGCGGCAGTGTTCATGAATGGCATCGAGCACACGATCATCCAGGTCGGGAACCCTCTTGAGAGACAGGGTGCGCAAGGTGCTGCCAATGCTCTTGATGACCTTGACATAAGGCTCAGTCGTGGTCTCGGTTCTGAGGTCGAGAGAGAGGTGCTGCAGACTCTTTAACTTGGCAATGTGCTCCACACCCTTGTCCGTCACCTTTTGATTGTTGGAAATCTTGAGTCGTTCAAGATTGGGACAAAGCTTTTCGAGTGACTTGAGAAGGTCGTCGCCAACGTGCTTATCGGTGTAGTAGATTTGAAGGCTCTTGAGGTGCTGGCCCTTGACCTTGAGGTAGGCCAACCATGTGTCCTCGGAAAGAAGATTAGCGCCGTGGAGAGAAAAGCCTTCTAGGTTGATGTTTCTAGTCACGAGATACTCCATGACCTCGTCCTTGAACTGGATTCCGTTGCGAATCTTGAGGTTCTTGAGATTCGGAACTCTTTGGAAAACGTTGACATAGTCGTCGGAAGAGAGATGTGCTCCGTCGTAAATCTTGACTTCATCATGCTGAGGCTCAAGGAACAGATTCAGGGTCTGAGAGTTGAGAAGTCGACGCTTGGACACGTGACGGGCAATCTTGTCAACCACAATGGGAGGGAGAGCGCCCAAGTCATCAGCAAGGTCAATATTCTTGGCGAGCAGCTCAATGCAGAGAGACAAGAGGGGCTTGGCGCCAGATGTATAGGTGCCATCAAGAATTCTGCTCTGCATCTTGCGACGGCCTGCACCCTGACCTGCAGCTCTCTTCTTCTTGTTCGGAGTCGGGGTGTCCTTGGCAAGGTCCTTTCCACACTTGGAACACAACAGACCACCGTCTGGGCCGGCGCGGGAGTACGGGGTGACAGTGAAGCGCTTGTCGCAAATGGCGCAATTCTCCATCTGACCAGGAAGAGGAGTCGACTTTTGCTTAAAAATCTCGGCGGCCAAATCATCAGAATCGGAATCATCGCCCTGTCTCTTGCGCTTCTGGAAAGCCTTGGACTTTTTAATCTTTTCAATGGCCTCTGCTTCCTTTTTGCGCTTTAGCTGCTGAGCTCGACGACGACCAGAGGCTGGGGTTGTGTTGTCCTCCTCTTCATCCTCTTGACCGTCTTCATTGGTGGCCGTTGCCGATTCATTGTTGGCGTTTTCAGCAGCCTCGGCAGCAGCGGCGGCGGCAGCCTCTTGAGCTGCGGTCCGTCGTGCTGAAGCATTGGCTAGAGCATCGGATGCATTGGTGGACTGCGAATCAAGGTTAGTTGATGCGACGAGATAGTTCGAGGATACGAGTGATGCGCACTGCCAAGAAATCCGTGAGAGCCGAACGTCTGCCATTTTGTTAGTAATGAATCTTGACTACGGCCAGGGATAACTTACGGTCCGCGAATTGTGTTGCGAGTACGCCGTGAAGACCTAGTCATGTTAATAGCTGTTATGAATGTGCAACCGACAAACATACATGGTATCGTCGTGCTGTAGTGAAACAACACACAGCGGCGGATGTACTCAACTGATTGTCGCAAAATGATGATGTAATAGAGAACAATGGGATGAAGATTCTGTCTCCAATGGGTCGAACCGGCGCAAAGGCTCTTGTGAAAAAGTCAGTGTGAGCAGCACTGGCAGTTGACAAAAAAAAATTGCACAGAGCAATCAGCCCCCAGACTGGAATGTTGCGGCGTGAATTGGAAAACGCGATTCCCGTTGCCACAGCTCCTATCGAAGCTAGTATTTGGATCGCGTCAGGCAGGGGCAGGCTTTAATTGATTTGGCGGGGTAATTTGGCTTGATCGGGAGATCCGCAAAGGTTTAGCGGGCAGGGACGGGCTCCCGGGCCCACAGTGCTGCCTAGCCTGGCCTGCCTGGATCGTGCTGGACGGGCAATCAAGTGGGGCGTCAGTTTTTAAGTGCTTGCAGTAGCGACTGGATAACCGCTGGCAACTCACGTGTTTCGGCGTGCAAGTCGTGTTGGAGGCGAACCGAAGCTCTCGCCACCTGCATCCTCCCGCTCTGCGAACTTTTTTCCCAATTGTACAACAAGGCGGCTGCAGCCAATAATCATTGTCAGCTGCAACTTTATTCTTCACAATCCCAGCCTGTTTGTGTCCACCACTTTGTTGGGCACTTTCTCGCGGCTGCATTGTGAAGCAGTTTGCGATTGTTTCCTGGTGCATCTCTTTTGTTCGCCGATTACTTTCATCCCACCTGAACTTTCATCCCGTCGGGCTGACATCCACTGGACAAGCTTCTTCAAGTCGTCCACTTTTGCCCATTTACATTTCCATCCAAGCAACATTGAATGTGCTCGTCATTCATTGCAAGTCGGCGACATTCATCCACATAATAACTGATTTCTTGATTCATCCTCAACCCATTGCCCATTGATCATCCCCAGGTCATCTTCACCATGGCGCCGCGTACGCGCAGATCCCTTGGGGTCAATGGCGCTGGAGTCGGCGATAACAACGCCTCTCCAGCTGCTACCGACCCTGGAGTCACTCCCTCTGTCGCTCCTAAGAAGCGTGGCAGACCTTCCAAGGTCGAGGTCCCTTCCACCTCTGTCTCGTCCATTGCTTCTCCTGCCCTGTCCATTTCTGATACTGGAGAATATTCAACCCCGGCCACCAGCCACGACGTCACTCCCGGAGTTGCTGCCAATGGCCAGTCTACCAAGACTACTCGCAGTCGCATCGTCATTGAACTGCCTGCCGGTCTTCAAGATGACGACGATGATGAGCTGTCTGCATTTCCGGCTCCGACCACCATCTCGTCGCGCACTAGAAGTGCTCGTCGATCTCTCCGTCCTGCTGCTCAAGTTGTCGAAGACTCCGATGATGACATGGATCTTGACTTTGACCCGTCTCCAGACGCCACTCTAGCCCGACGCCTCCAGAAAGAGGAATACGCAAAGGCTGCCGAGGAAAGAGACACTCCATTCATTGGTAAGGACGCACAAGACTGCGCACAAGGAAAATAAATGCTAACAAGCACACAGACGAGAGCAACTATGAAGTTGACAATGCAAGCTCCATGGACTTGGATTATGGCTCTGGCAGCTCTGAAGGTATTACAATCTTCCAAATATACTTGCTAATGTACTAATGACGATTCAAGACGAGGCCCTCGCTACCAGTGCACCGGCTCGCAAAAAGGCCAAGGCAGTAGCCAAGTCCAAGTCGAATGCAAAGACTCGTGCCAAACCTGCCAAGAACCGCAAGGCCAAGTCGAAAGCTGCACTCTTGACGGCTCCTGAATACACTCCCGATCCCGATGACCCCGACGCCGACGCTCCCGGTTTCGAGACCCCGTCTGACTTTTCGCAGTGGGAGATAACCGATGATGAAGTAGAGGCAACCGGTGAGATGGGACAGATTGGACGTTCACGCCATGGATTTTCTGGCCCTGTTCACTCTAGACGAGCCAAGAAGGAGCGGTTGAGACTGGAATTCTACCACCCCGAGCTCAAGACCATGTGGGGAACCCTCAAGGAAGAGACCCCAGCAGAGCCGCCCAGGGCTGAGCAGCCTACCAACATTACCCGAACTCTCAAGCCCTTTCAGCTCGAGGGTCTCGCCTGGATGAAGAAGATGGAACAGGACAAGTGGAATGGTGGCATCCTTGGAGATGAAATGGGTCTGGGCAAGACCATTCAGGCAGTCTCTCTGATAATGTCGGATTACCCTGCCAAGCAGCCCAGTCTCGTCTTGGTGCCCCCCGTTGCACTCATGCAGTGGAAGTCGGAGATTGAATCCTACACTGATGGCACGCTCAAGGTCATTGTCTTTCACGGTACCAATTCCAAGGCCAAGGACATGACTGCCAAGCAGCTCAAGGCTTTTGATGTCATTATGATGTCGTACAATACTTTGGAGTCCATGTACCGCCGACAGGAAAAGGGATTCCAGCGCAAGGATGGTCTTTTAAAGACCAAGAGTGCTGTACACACGATTCATTTCCATCGAGTCATTCTTGATGAAGCTCATTCCATCAAGGTAAGCCATCTTTAAACTCTTGTCAAGCAATGCTAATGAATTAGACTCGTACTACAATGACGGCCAAGGCATGCTTTGCCCTCAACACCACGTATCGCTGGTGCTTGACTGGTACACCTCTGCAGAATCGAATTGGTGAATTCTTTTCCCTGATTCGTTTCTTGAACATGGCACCCTTTGCCTCGTACTTTTGCAGATCGTGCCCCTGCTCCACCTTGGAGTGGGACATGAATGATGAAGGCAGATGCAAGCACTGTAAGTTTTTCGTCGAGTCAAATTTGTTCAGACTGACATGATGTAGGCAACCATGGGTCTATGAGACACGTGTCCGTGTTTAACCAGGAACTGCTGAATCCCATTCAAAAGTACAACAACAAGGGTCCCGGTGCCGAGGCCTTCAAGAAGCTTCGCCTCATGACCAATCGCATCATGCTGCGTCGTCTCAAAAAGGACCACACCAACTCCATGGAGCTTCCCGTCAAGGAAATCTTTGTTGAGCGTCAATTCTTTGGCGAGGCCGAGCATGACTTTTCGAGCAGTCTGACCAGTGAGAACCAACGTCAGTTCAACACCTATGTCGCCCAAGGTGTCATGCTCAACAACTATGCCAACATTTTCGGTCTCATTATGCAGATGCGACAAGTGGCTGATCATCCCGACTTGATCCTGAAAAAGTCTGCCGAAGGCGGACAAAACGTGCTGCAGTGCTGCATATGCGACGAACCCGCCGAACAAGCGATTCGATCCAAGTGCCGGCACGACTTTTGCCGCTCGTGTGCAAAGAGTTATCTCAACTCTCAGGATCAGCCCGATTGCCCCAAGTGTCACATTCCTCTCTCGATTGATCTCGAGCAGCCCGAGATTGAGCAGGACGAGGCCTTGGTCAAGAAGTCTTCCATTATCAACCGCATAAATATGGAGAATTGGACTTCCTCGTCCAAGATTGAGCTCCTTGTTCACGAGTTGCACTCTCTTCGATCCGACAGTGCCTCTCACAAGTCCATCATCTTTTCTCAATTCACCACCATGCTTCAGCTCATTGAGTGGCGTCTGCGTCGAGCTGGTATCACGACTGTCATGCTCGATGGTAGCATGACGCCTGCTCAACGTCAAGCCTCGATTGACCACTTCATGTCCAATGTTGATGTCGAGTGTTTCTTGGTCTCGCTCAAGGCCGGAGGTGTCGCTCTGAATCTCACAGAGGCCTCTCGTGTCTTTATTGTCGATCCGTAAGTCATTTGCCCGAATTCATGATATATGCTAACCTGCCTAGCTGGTGGAACCCTGCCGCCGAGTGGCAATCTGCCGATCGTTGCCATCGTATTGGACAGACCCGTCCTTGTACCATAACCCGTCTCTGCATTGAGGATTCTGTAGAGAGCCGAATTGTCCATCTTCAGGAAAAGAAGACTAGCATGATCAACTCTACGATCAATTCTGATGATGCCGCCATGGAGTCCTTGACTCCCGAGGATCTTCAGTTCTTGTTCAAGGGTTGATTAATGTGGGCGTCGTCTAGAGACGACACGTTAATGTCATACGGAATGATGTCGTTTGTTGCCATACGAAAATGGTAGCACGTGAGCGGCATACGGAATGCGCACGTTGGTTGTCATACGGAATGGCAACACTAGGTTTCCGCTGAGATGTTTGGAGTGTATACACTAATTTTTGGTCGCGACATGTCTGTAGCTTGTCACGGATAAACGAAGAAACGAGGAATGAGGATTGCACTGGCGAGTGCATGGCGTTGCAAGGAGTTTACTGGTCTATAAAGGTGCATCCATAGGAGGTCTACATATACCCAGAGAATCAAGTAATGTCAGGGACTTGCGAATAGATTGTGACATATGGACCCATTGAATAATTATGGGTTGATTGAACAAGACGGGTGCCGTGTGCTAACATTTCCGAATACATCACGACTCCTTTATTCGATCACTACGAGGCCTTGTTGATTTCCATACGTTTCCATTCCCAGTATCCCAGGCGTATGCGATCCCACTTTTCACCCAACCGCCTCAGACACAAATCAGCCTTTTCCTTTTCACCAGCCTCGGCATAAATATCGGCCAAGAGCTCCAAGGCATACGAGCTGCGAACCTGCTCGTCATTGCTGCCAAGATTGTCGACGTACTGTTCGGCATAATCTCTGACAGTACCTAGCTTTCTTCCACCCTTGACCAGGACACCCTTGAGATAATTCCACGGGCTTTGATTTTGCGGTGCCAGCTTGATCTTGTCCTCGGCATACTGAATCTCGCGGTCCACAATGTCGGCGGGCACGGCGGGATCGTGCCCGGTGGCGTGTGAGCCTGGTGTAGTATTCCGGGGATCGGAAAAGACGAGAAAGAAGCGGTGGGACCAGGCGGAATTGTTGCGCACGTCCTCGTCGACCATGGTGGCGATGCTGGCGAGCTCGGCGTCGTCGTCCCACGTTCCCAGCTTGCGCACGGCGTACTGGCGATAGGTCCAGACGTGGTAGTTTTTGGCGTCGTCGGCAAACATGTCGGTCATGAAGGCGCGCTCGCTGGCCGCGAACCGGCGCACCTCGTCGGGGCTGTCGCGGATCTGCGGGTAGTAGTGGTCCAGCAGCAGCTGGCGGTGGTGCCAGATTTGGTAATTCTTCTGGTGCTCGAGGGCCACCTCGTTGAGCCAGGCCAGCTCGTCGAGCAGCGGAATGTCGAGGGCCTGGACAATGGAGAAGCGGTACAGCCATACCGTGTAGTGTGCCGGGTTCATGGAAATGATGTGCTCGGTCAGCTTGAGGCAGCGGGGCGAATACTCTTTGGCAATCATGACGGCGCGGAGATATGCCGTTGCTGGAGAGTGTCAGCTAGAGGTCGGTTCACATTGACAAGCACTTACACTCGGCATAATCGTCTGGATAGGCTATAGAAGCTAGAGCTCCCTCTGGCTCCGTCTGAGGCACGGGTATCACGTCGTCCCAGTCGGGATCAGTGGCGTACGACCCCATCTTGTGCCCGTAGAGCTCGCTGCCGAGGGCCGCCATTTCTTGTCTCCGAGCGCGCTCTTGCTCAATCTCGGCCAAGTCGTCGGGGGTGAATTTGACCTGGGGCTCGCCGCCGCGGACGCGCTGGGCCTTGAGTCTCCGCTCCCGGAACTTTCGGCTCTGGTTGAGCAGGTTGATGTGGCGGGAGCGCTTCTCGGATCGGTCCTCGTACTGCTCGAGCGAGTACTCGCCAATGGGACGACCGTACTTGTCCTTGCCCCAATCCCCGACCGACGGCTTGGAGACCCGCCGCAACGGTGTGTTTGCCTCGTTGACCTGCTTCCACAGCTCCTTTTGGGCCTTTTTGCCAAGCAAATGAACCTCGCCCTTGCAGAGGTAGTCTTGGTTAAAGTAAGCGGTGCGCTCGACGGTCGATAGGCCGTGTAGACCGAGTTTCTCTCGGGCCTCTTGGTAGGGGTTGGTGAGCTCGTAGACTTGCTGGGCGCGCTCAAGGACTGTCTTGGGTTCAGGCTTGGCGGGAGCTGTCCACGTCAGAAGAGCTCTCAAAAAATGTACACAAGACAATATATCTTACCGTCGGCTGTCTTTGCCTTGGCTGGTTTGCCTTTGGGTGGCATGATGATCTTGGAGCTCCGAGAGTTTAGTGATGGTGGGGTTCTTTGGAGGTTTGGTGACTTGTTAACCCCACGTCGACGTAGCAGAGGTCAATAGCAGACCCTTGATGATGCAAGATCCACAATTAGATGTAAATGTCTGTATTATATTTCACTCTTCTTGTAGAAATAATTACTTATTCTTTGATTATACAATGTACTAACAAACCGTGCTCATGGTTATTTATACCCGTGAGGATATTTCTAAACTTGTCCAGGTATTCAACTGGCAAGTATACTAAACTATATACACGTACGAATCATTAATAGTGACAATCAGTATCACCTGCTTTCAACACGCCAAAACTTCCAACCTTCTCTTTCTGCCCCGCCACTGTGCACTCCCACCAGCCTTTCTACACCTTCATTACCAGGGGCACTGAGGAACTTTTCCAGGTCAATCTCCATGCCTCCCTCATCGTCCTCGTCCATTCCATTCTTGAGGACGGCAGGCCAGAGCACACCGATACCATCTCCGCCAAGAGTGGTTTCAAACTTTTGATATCCTTCGAGTTCGAGCTGTTCTTCCAGTTGATCCCATCTGGTTCTGGGTACTGTTGGGTTCATTAATGTTATCGAGCAACCGCCGCCGCCAGCTCCAGTGAGCTTGGTCCAGCCCAGACCTTCGTGGTCGACCAGTTCCCGTACGCGCTCAAGACGCGGATGTGATACGCCCAGTGCGTTGAGTAGACCGTGATTTATCGTCATGATTTCTCCCACTTTGCTCAGACTCTCCACCTCGTCCTTGTCAAAATCGTCCTCGGCAATGAGGTCGTTCATGGTATGGACACACTTGTCTATTGCGTCCAAGATGGGCCCAACCAGTTTCGGGTGCGTATTCCTGAGCCTTGCAACCTTGGCCACCTCGTGCGCTGTAGACTTTGGCTGCCTCGTGTCGACAAGCAGCAAGGGGAGCTCTGGAAAGTCCCACAATGGTTTCACTGTCGGTGGCTGTTCTCCGGTGCCCTTGAGATACACTACTGCCTTGCCTTGGGTCGCGACCGTATTGTCCACCCCAGAAGGATTGCCGTGTATACACATTTCCGCCACAAAGGCCCAGCTGTTGATTCTTGCGACCTGCAGGCGCGCCTCGTCTGGGGGCTGATCGGGGTGGGGTCCGGATAACGTTCGAAGCTGCAGCAGCAAGGCTGAAGACATGCATACAGCAATGGAGGCGCTGCTACCTAGACCGGCGCCAATGGGTATCGTCGAGCGCAGCGTATATAGACAGCCTGGGAATTTGGGCGATCCGAGGGAGAGAAAGAGGTAGAGAAAGGAGCTTGCCGAGTTCTTGTGTATCTTGCGCTCGGCCTCTGACTTGTGAGGTGACATGTCTTCGAGGTGCGGCTGCAGAGCCTCGACGAGGTCGGGGTCGAGAGAGGTGACATGGCTATAATAGGACTTTTTCTTGTCGGGATGTTGGAATATTGCCCAGGGCAGCTCGTCGATATTCCAGGTATGCTCGAGATCAATGTCGGCAAAGCGCAGACTGACGGTACGCTTTGATTTGGAAAGAGTAGTGACGTGGAGATATGATCGCAAGGAGATGGATGCGGCAATGGCAGGCTGCAAGACGAAAACATGTTGTCAGCAAGCATACGCTGGAATGACGCATGGAGCATAACCTACCTTGCCATATACGACGGCGTGCTCTCCCGACACAATGACCTTGCCTGGGGCTGAGACCATGAATGGGGGCATCATGGCGTTGGACTTTTTGCGAAACATTCTTGCTCGAGGGTTGTTGTCTTCTGGTGACGATCGTCCGTTTACACCATTGCCATTGACGCTGCCGTTGCTGCCATTTCTCGTGCCATTGACGCCATTGTAGTGCCCATTACCGTTGACATGCGGTAAAACGAGGCTCTCCTCGGAGCTACTGGTCGACGACGCCATGTTGAAAGGGTCGAGGTATGTGCAGTGTAGAATGGCAGAGGAGGGCGCAAAGTAAACGACGTCGTTGATTCAGTTGGTGGTGCGGCCAGTCGAGAATATGCAGGGGTGTGTGGCCGATGCGCGTTTCCCTCACTAAACCTTGTTGTAGGTGCCTTTTCTTTTTAGTTTAAGAAATTGAGTAAACAGTTTGATAAATTAAACAATTCTGTAATAAATGGGCAACCCGTCAGACGATATAGGCGATTCACTGTCGAGAGAGAATGACTACTTGTTACAAATGTACGATACGCGTACCGGGGGCGCAGGGAGTAAGTAATAGCAGCATGCAGATGAATTGTTGGGGGCCTGGTTCGGTTCGGTATCGCGCATGGAGACGAGTGAGTGGAAATTATTGATGTTTGCTTGCTGCAAGTATTCCCAGTTTCTGCCTACAGAGCCTAGCCAGCGCACTGCCCGCACATGTATGGTACCCGTAAACTACCTGTAAGAGAATTGGCCCCGAATTTATACATGTCCGTACATGTTATCATGAAGGATTCCAAGCCGTTTCGGCCCTCTTGTCTCCCGCATGCAGCACAAGAAAGCCCAACGGTGGTCAGCATTGTACGGCGTATAGTAACTCCGAGGTGATACTTTTTTTTCAGATTCCACTCAAGGATTCCCAACTCTTACAGCATGGCGTAGGACAGCGTCATGTTTTACCCAGCCAGCCAGTCTGTCCACTAAAGACTCGAGGTATCATCATCTCCAACTCGCCCCCTTTTTTCTCCCCTTCTTCCCCAAATGCCAACCCAACCTTGTAACCAAATTATTGGGAGGGGCCATTTTAGTCTGCCCGTGACCTTTTTTGGGGGGCGGTCCCTGCTGTAGCGCAGGGCCATTAATGGCACAAAAGCGGGATCCGACGCTGCGGGACAGGATTGCAGCGGGCCACTCATGACTGCCCAATTGGAAACTCTGGCTCAGTCAGCTCGACGGATCACCGGTAACCGAACCGTCCAACATTCCGATACACCCATGGATATAAGACTGATTGTCGGCCAACCCCGACTCATACTATGCATCAGTAGGTATTGAATAAGCTGAAGGCTTTCAGCTGGTGAGCCTCACCTCAGCTTAGCCATACCAGGTAGCACAAGAACATGATTGGCCGACTATACATGATTCTGTCGCCAATACAGAGAGTCGTTGGGAAACATTTCATACCGATTCAATAGTCTACATGGCGGGGCATAACTGTACGTATCTAGCGTTGCCAATTTATTCTAGAATCTAGACCACGTGGACAATGTTCTTTATGACAAACTTGCATATTCCAACGCCGTCTCCCTCTATTCATACATTTCTGGTCAAACTACACCCTGCTGTTCCCCTGGTTTCCTCCACCATAACCATCTATTTCCATCGGGCAACTTTGGAGGCTGTACATTGATCACGACCGTCTCGCGCTTAGAAAACCTTCTTGGCCGTCGTCTCGGTCTCGGCTCTGCTGCAGACTCGGTCTTGCCAACCGCTATACTCGATGCCTCGCGCGTCCTCTTGAGCATCCCCCGACGAGTCATCATGAGCTTGAACCGTTCGTCGAGGCGCTCAATGTGGCTCATGAGAAACTCCATGCCCGTCCGCGTCTGCACCAGCAGGATAAAGACAATGAACGGCACGCAGGCGCAAATCATGGTGACGGGAAACTGCCAGTCGTCCACGTCCAAGGGAAACCCCGTCATGCTCCAGACGCTCGTGACAAAGGTCAGGGGGTAGAAGATCATGCTCAGGCTCGTCAGCACCTTGATATTGTCGCCTTGCTCAATCGCTCGCCGACTCTCCTTGACGCTGCTGCCGGAGAAGAGCTGGTCCCGCAGACTCTTGATCTCCTGCCGCGTCGCCTCGTTCTTGGCGTGGACCTGGTGCAGCAGGGCGACGGCCGTTTCGAGCTCGTGGCGTAGTGGACGCAACTTGGCAATGTAGGCCACGTATTCTGGCGAGTTCTGGGCACCACTGTCTGGGTGTGGAAACAGTGTCGGGTGTTTTCCGGCCCAGAAATCCTTGGTAAAGGTATCTGTATACGCATTCATCATGGACTTGATGCCGTCATTAATGACCGCCAGCGAATTGTAAGCCCAGAAATATCGTCTCGAATAGGTAAAGTGCTTGTCTTCAAACAAGAGCTTATCCCGCAGGCGATCATCAAACATGAATGTGACCTGGCAACGTCAGCATTACAATCCTTTCGAGTGTCGGGAATCTCACCGGAGGAGTAATGAGCTTGGTAATGACATCACTCAAGTCGATATTCCTCTTGACGGCATCACGATACTCCATGACGAGAGCGTCGAGAAAGGCCAACGGACCACTGCAAAAAGTGGTTTGAGAGTCCTCGCTGCGCATGACGTGGACATCATCAGGAAAGCACTGGATATTGAGGAGCTGCCACGGCGCAAACGAGTCGTAGATTTTGCCCTGCTCGGCCTTGGACTTGCGCTTTTTGCGCTCAAACGTGCGGACAGGATCGCCGGAAAGGGACAGGGCCAAGATGGAACTACACTCGCAAATGTCAATGTGATCCGCGGCTCTCTTGTCCGCCGGCCGATGATCATAGTGCTGCCATGGAGCCGGGGTAAGCCTGTCCCCGACGACGGTGTAATATTTAAAGACGAAAAAGCAGCTCCTCTGTCGTGTCTCGCTTGTTTCGAATGCTCGGTCCATGTAGGCCTGGGCGGTCAGTCGACGTTGTAGAGTATTCGGGATTGCCTACCTTGGTCTTGCCCTTGTTGCCCTCTCTCGTGACGAGATGCTGAAAGAGTTCATCCATGTCGAAATGGGATTGCATGCTCAGGTGAAGTGCTCCAAGCATGAGCGGCGAGGGGTCCATGAGTGATCTACCATGTTAGTGATTGAACGAATACACGAGCAGGATACTCACGTCATTCTACCAACGACATGACTGCCATCAATGTGCTGTGAAATGTCAGTGTAATCCTTTACTTGGCGAATCTCATACCTTGAGCGTATCCCACACTGTCTTGGCATCCAGTATCATGTCGGAATCTTTACTCCCTGCTGCATGTCTCGGTCTGGCCAAGGCATCCCGCCCAATGTCAAAAACCTGATATGCCGCGCTATCATAGAGCTTGTCGTGCTGGTCATTGAAAAGTTGAAACAAGTTTTGAGGTTCGAGCTCCTCACGTCTCCGGTACACATCATCGAGAGCGATCTGGGTGGCCTCGGGAAACTGAAACCCCTTGATGTGAAAGTACAATTCATTGTCGTGGTAGGTGTATTCGGGCAAAGACTGCTGAACGCAAATCTTGTCATTAATTATTGGCTCTGGTGCCGTGTTGGAGGGAGGCTGGGCAAAGTCTTCATCATCGCTCATGTCGAGATCCAAGCTCAGAAGCGAGGCGGGTGTATTCTTAGGTAGCAATGCCCTCCTGTCACCAAGCTCATTGGTCAGGCGACGTGATCGCCGGGCAGCTTCTGTCGAGATTGGAGGAATATCACCGAGAAAAGTCGACGTGACGGAAATGGGCTTCATTGGAGGAGTGGGCGCGACTGGGCCTTGTCCTTCCAATGTGCGGCCGCCCATTGATTCATGGAGCTCGCCAAGACTTGATATATATCGAGCATGTTGTTCTTCGACTCTTTTGACGAGTTCTTCATGATTTAATCTTGACATGGCCGACAGCAACGAGTATTTGGTCAATAACTAGAATATGTTTAATATATATAGGCACTCTTGACCTATAACAAGAAAGTATATAGTAGCCAGTTGAATTCATAAATGATACGTAAAAGAAACACGATACTGGACAGCTACTCTTATACTCGTTCTATAATCACGACTATGGAAATATCCGCACCTCCCACACGTTGGCGGGGTTCCACTTGCGGCTGAGTTGAAGTTTGAACAAGTCCAAGGCGTGCAATCATGTTGGCCATTCTTATCATGTGAATTATCTCTAGATATATTATTCAGCATCCCACGTGGGCATGTCGAGGTCAAATCAATACACCGAGGCTACACGTCCGGCTTCGGGGGGCAGTGTTGAGACCGGATGACCAGAATGACGACAATCTTGAAGGTAGCAGACTGATTGACGTAGAGCTCATGCACTTATGACCAATGGAGTAGGTCAGTTTGGATCAAGCTTCTCTACGGCTTCTAGCGTTGAGGAGCTCCCAAGTAGCTGGGCGTTTACTCGGCGCATTCCGACGAGATGAACATTGGCCAAAATCAAAACGTTCACCGAAGCAGACTGACCTCGGGACTCACCTGTCGCGGAATAGAAAAGCCGAGAATATGCGCTGATGTGAGTGTAGTGCCAAGAGTATACAGCACAGTGTGGATATCTACTGCTTACTGTCTGCACGCCATTGACCAAGTGGGATGACTTTTTTTTGCGAGCAAGTCCAATCAAGACATGTTCAACAACCGCCATGTACACACCAATACAAGGCCTAGTAGGCAGCTCGGCCAAGAGGCTCTTGAGCTTGCGACACAATGTAGTCCCTCGAAATGGATTGGCCTGCTCGTCAAGTCAACACCATCGTCTTGCGCCGCTACTGGGCCAGAGCCATCAGGGCTTGAGCTCGAGAAGCTTCAGTAGCACCCTTCCGAGAGCCAGAATCAAGAAAAAGCCATTCTACGTTACCACGCCCATATTCTACGTCAATTCTTGTAAGCATCCTGCTTCGCTCCTCGATTCATCCATTGACGCGTGTAGCTCCTCATGTCGGCCACCTCTTTACCATGGTCATTGCAGACGTCCTCAAGCGCTGGGAGCTTCTCAAGCCCCGACGTGCCCTGCTTTGCACCGGCACCGACGAGCACGGCTTAAAAGTACAACAGGCCGCCGACTTCCAAGATGTACCTCCAAAGACGCTTTGCGACACCAATTCCGAAATCTTCAAGGACCTGGCGCGAAAAGCCAACATTTCCAACGACCACTTTATACGAACGACGGACCCCGAACACCGAGAAGCCGTGGAATACTTTTGGAGGCGCCTGCAAGAAAATGGACACATTTACGAGACCAAGCACGCGGGATGGTACTGTGTGAGCGACGAGACGTATTACCCAGAGAATATGATTACCAAGCAGGTCCATCCTCACACGGGCAAGACGTTCATGGCCTCGATCGAGACGGGAAATGCCGTTGAATGGACCGAGGAAAAGAATTACCACTTTCGCCTGACGGCCTTTAAAGAGAAACTGTTGGAGTTTTTCCGCGAAAACCCAAATTGGGTAACGCCGCCAAGTCGAATGCGCGAGGTGGTGAACTGGGTCGAGAACAACTTGGAGGACTTGTCCGTGTCGCGCCCTGCCAGCCGTCTGCAATGGGGTATTCCCGTGCCGGATGATCCCAGTCAGACCATTTACGTCTGGATAGACGCCCTCGTCAACTATATAACCTATGCCGGCTACCCTCGATGGACCCCCGGAAAGGAGAACCGTGGCGGATGGCCGGCGGATGTTCACGTCATTGGCAAGGACATTATGCGATTCCATTGCATCTACTGGCCGGCACTCCTCATGGCATTGGATCTTCCACTACCAAAACGAATCCTTACCCATGGGCACTGGCTAATGGACGCCAAGAAAATGTCCAAGTCTGTTGGCAATGTCGTGAACCCATTCTTTGCCATTGATCGCTGGGGCGTCGATACGATGCGATACTATTTAATGTACAATGGCGCCATGGCAAACGACTCCTCTTACAGCAACGAGGGTGTCGTGGAATCGTACAAGAAGGGTCTACAGTCAACTACTGGCAACTTTTTAAATAGAATCACGAAGCCCAACAAGTGGGATGTTAGCGAAGCTGTTCGAGAGATTTATCGAAATATGCTTGAACTAGACATTAAATCACCCAGAGCGCAGGCGTTTGCCCGATTGACCGATGCCCATCAGGAGTTGGTGGATTCCCTGGCAGAATCAGTTGGTCAAGATTTTGATAATGGTGCTCCCAAGGCTGCTCTACGCAAGATTATGCACTTTTTGGGCGAAGTAGGTTCTCATTTATTCTGTTCGAAAACTCTACTAACAGCTGCCAGTCCAATAAATACATGACCGAAGCTGCTCCTTGGAACTTGTCCAACAACGGCGAAAGGGACTATACCCGACTTGTCCATTGCATCTATTTGTGCGCAGAGTCGATGCGAGTCGCTGCCATTCTGCTGCAGCCATTCATCCCTGAAAAGGCCGCCGAGATACTTGACCGACTTGGTGTAGACTCCAAGAAGCGAACGCTCGAATATGCAAAACGAGGCAGGGATGGCGAGTACGGAACTCCCAAGGTGGATCTGGGTCAAGGGGCAGCCAGTAGTTTATTTCCTCCTATTCCATGGGAAGGTTGATGTAATAGACGGTAAAAGTTGTACAATATGTAAATAACGTGTAAATGTATTGGTGAATTGCGGTGGCGCCGGATGGGGCTCAAACTCATAAAATTTCTGGACAGTGCAAAACCAACCAATCCATGACCCAACAAAAGACGAGCGAAAATGAAATTCAACGAGCACATTGGTATGATGTATGATTCATGAAGCGTTTACATGCTAAACTCACCTAGCGATTTCGACACAAAAGGTGTTGCTCGTTCCGTACGATGCGCATCACGTTCCGCGCTACCACGAGTGGATGGAGGATGCCGCAAGTTTCTTGATCGCGAGGCGCGTCTTTTACTGACCTTGTTAGGCGATTCGTGAAGCAACAGCCTCGGACCGGTTGAGTCTTGAAGAAGAATACGAGAATCAAATTTCCTGGCGCACCTCTGCAGACAAGCTGACCTTTATCGTCTGCAAGCCTCTGAGCGACGGGGGGCACAAGGTCTCTGCGGGCGTGGCGGATGCAAATGAGCACATGGTGGGCGACATTAACCTCTTTCTCACGCCGTGGGAAGACGACGAGGAGCAAGACGACGAGGCCCGGGGATCTAGACAGAGACTCTGTGTCGGCGAGGTGGACATAATGATTGCCGCCCCCACGGACCGTGGGCGAGGCATGGGCAAGGCAGCCGTGTCGACATTCTTGTGGTTCATCAAGAAGAACATGGGCGCGATTCTGGCCGAGTACGCATCGAGTCTCGAGGATGGAGGCGTCTTGGAAATCAAGGAGCTCCTGGTGCGCATCAATGCGTCCAACGAGGGCAGCAAGGCGCTCTTTAAAGGTCTTGGCTTTGAGCAGAGGGGCGAGGTCAATTATTTTGGCGAGATTGAATTGGTGCTCAAGGATTTCCAAGGCGAGAGAGGTGTTTCCGAGGTGCAAGAGTATCGTGAGCTGCCATTTGATCGGTCTGGATTGGCAGCATGATTCCATCTAGCGGATATTTCATAGATTCGTACATGATGAGCCAGATCACCAAAAAAGGCATTTTCAGAAAAAGCCACGATTCAAATTAGAATACTCGCCATGAGTCAAGAAACAATTCTGCTGCGGTCTTGTCCTTGCATATTGTCATGGTCCGTGATTGCGCGTCTTCAGGCAGACACATGGCAGTTGTGGAGGGGCAAAGGTGGCCTCTGAGCATGGAACCATGAAAATCGCCACCTAAGCCACTTGATAGCCTCTTCAGACCTACACCATCAAGACCTGCAATCATCTCTGATTATCCAGACTGAAAACCATCTCAGGCATTTGATTTCTCAAGTAAAGATTAACCAAACGTTGCAATGCCGACACCAATTGATAATGCGCTACGCTCCAAGGTATGTGCCGTCTGTCTCGTGGATCTACAACAGCTAACAATTGAATCTTAGAATGCCGTTCTCGGTAATTCATCATCCTGATATCAATATCATGACGCAAATACTGACCAGACCCGTGACCAGGCTTTGCCGGCATCATAACCGCAGCTGCTGCCTGGGCCATTTGGGGCGGCGACATGTTTCCGGCTCCTGCAGACCCGACTGGCGACCCGGAAGGCTGGACGAGGGAAGAAATGAGACAATGGCTTGCTGCTGTGAGTATTGATATTCAAAAGAGTATACGTGTGCTGACTTTTTAGCGAAACTTGCATCCGCAAAGTGGCGATTCAAGGGAACAATTACTAGAGAGGGTCAAGGTGAATATGCGATACCAGGCGTAAACTTGATGTGAAAAAGCTAGAATTACAGGCAGAGATACCTACGAATTGATTATTTTCACCTGTTTCCCGTGCCATGCTTGCTTTTATCATACTCAAGAAACATTTTGAGCCTTACGGACATTGCAAAGATGAACAATATACATTTGGAACAACCTTGATAAGAGCGTGGCATGAAGCATGGCGGCAAGGGATCACTGAATAACTGAATGCTATGTCTGCAGCCGAATGCCATTGCTGTAATTAGACATTTTCATATTCGAATCTGCTCAAAATGCATAAAGGCATGTCGCAAGCCTTATTCACAACTGCATAGCTGCTTTCATGTGATTCAACCCAAGGCATCTAGTACTATGCAGCATTCCAGGCAACCACAATTCTGCCACTGTTGCCCGCCCGCGCAATTCAGGCAAGCGCCCCACTCCCAGCGCGCCTGCAATCAGTAGCTGCCTCTGGGTCCCCCCAAATTCTTACTATAAATGTCTGGCTTCCCTCCCACCTTTTGCACTGTTTTTTCTTCCTTTCTTCTTCATACTTACCTTCTCGTAAAAGGCTTCGATCAAGCATGAGGTCTTTTAGAGGGTGGAATCTGCATTGCACAGCGTGGTATTCCGCCTTCTCTACTATCCTTCGGGGTCGTAGATGGGGCAATTTTTGATTTAACACTCTTTTCATTGTGTACGATTGCCTTGCGCATCGTCATGAGGAAGATGGTTCTGTAGTTTAATCGTGTGTAAATGATGAATGGTATGCTTATCTACTATGTGAACTCGTAGTACTGTGTTTTGAATGGACGTACGCTGGAGCTTGGCAAGCTTGTACGTAGCTGCTGTAGGCGTGGGAAGGCTGCAGGTCGGCCCGTCGTAAACTGCTTGATTGCCAATGATGTACGCGACGGCCCGTGATGAAGCTGGCAGTGACAACAAATACATGGCAATAGTTTCTCTCTACAGATTACTTGTTGCCTCTGTTTCGCCGTCATTCTACGATTCTAGACTTGATGCTTAATTGCTCCCTGCTTGTTTGTCTTGTCGTGATGGCACGTCTCGAGCTCGTCTGCCCAAATGGCTTTTCAGTAGGATTGCAAGCATCATTTAGAATAACCATCACCGAAGCTGTAGATACCATTAAACTTGTAATATCCAATTGATACATTTACTCAAATAATCATCCTAATTAATTCAACTCTTGTCGATGCCATTGTCATCCTGTCCCTAGCCTGTCAGTTGGTGCCGGAAGCTGCCGGACCGTGCATTCCAATTGAAATTTTGGGGACCAAAGCTCCAAGCTCCGATTTGCGCGTGCCCGAATTCGAGGAATCGACGCCAGCATCTATCACGAAACGCAGCGTCGCTTGACGAGACTGGAAGCAGTGCATTTTACTGCTCTTACTCTATATTTTTCAAGGTCCAGCCTGCGACTCATCAGACACCATGCGGTCCTCGACATCTCCCCTTGTGGCTCTGTCCCGGGCGACTAGAGCAGCATCACAGAGCCAATGCCTTATGGGCAAGAGGTGCAACATCTGCTACAGACCTCATTCGAGTGTTTGCTAATCTCTCGACTCAGGACATTTACATCACTACCCACCCTCCGTCCAACTCTTGCCCGTCCCACTGGCACAGTCTTTCGCACCTCTACACCTACAACCTCGCTGGCGCCCACGGCACCCTCGTGCTCCTCCGAGACGGCAGATATCGTCCCCAAGACGACCATTTCCTCCAGTCCCCTCTTTGCCGCGACGCAGATTCGCTGTGGCCCGCGCGCCACGCTCGCGCGATCGAGTCGGCTGGTCCGTAAGCGCAGACATGGATTCCTGAGCCGGGTCCGGACGAGGACGGGACGCAGGACGCTGCAGAGGAGGCGGACCAAGAGTCGGCACATTTTGTCCAACTAGATCAATTGTATACGATATTCAGAAGAGATGGACATTGACCTTGAAACCAAAGAGGTCGACTCGGATCGACAGGGCATGTGCCAGACTGAGCAAGAAATGCCAGTCCAGTCCGAGAAAGAAGCCCGCTGTATTACTACTACATGGGCATTGTACATACTAGAAACCGAAAGAAGCCGTGGTCAAATATTGAAACGGTCGTAGGATGAGCTGTATACTAAAGAGGCATAGATTTGAAATGTCAAGTCGGCACTGGCAGAGAACATTACTCTGCTCTATTGTATCGAGAGTCAACATACCATCTGCCCGTGAATTCCATGACAATGCAACTGGTCAAGTTGCCAAATCTCGATTTACTTCCTGTTAAACTGTGTATACGCTAATGCTCATGTTGATGCGGTATCATTATGCCAATGTATGCTAAACCACCAAATAACTACTCACTTTGCCTTGCCCGCATCGATAATCTTTTGATTGGCCTTTTCAAGTTTCTGTTTTGCCTTGTCATCCAGTAACCCATACCACTCTCTCAGATAAGCTGCAAAAATTGTTTCTGCCTCTCCATACTCGACAGGCGGACCCTTGATCTGAGGAGCCTCGTCTTCTCGGTCAAAAACAGCCCAGCTCGAGGCTTCATTGGTGCGGAGGCCATACCCCTTGCCTTTCAAAGCAACCACTGTAAAGCTGCGCAAGAGCACAACGTCGCCGTGTTTAACCTGAGGCAAGGACTCCTTATGTGGACGGTAAAGCTGTACCTCACAAACACCACTAGGGCTGATGCTGTGGTCGGTTATGGTAAAAGACATCATGTACTCTCGTGGTCCACCTTTGGCACGAACAGGTGTCGGAGGCGTCATCATGGCAACCGCCATGACTTCGACCGACTTGCCAGTATGCTGACGCAAGACTTTGAGTGTGTTGCACTCGGGAAGTTCATCTCGAAGATGCCGGACTAGTTTGAGCTTGGAAGCCGTCAAGGAACTAGTTTCTTCTTCCACCTTGGACGAAGCAGGCGAGCTAGCTAGAGCTTGTGCTTCATTGCGGCCAGTTTTGGATGGAGTTTGGAGAGCTGCCTTGGCAAGTTGGACACTATTGTCGGGGAGTTCTGGACTGGGACTCTTCTGGAAGCTCTTGGATCTTGTCTGAGGTCGACTATCGGGTGTTGAACCGCGTTGACGGTGGCCATTTTTCGAAGCAATTGCAGCTCTTGCCAGTCGTAGGCTGGGATCAGACGCCATTTCTTCCGAGTCTGGGTGATTTTGTTGAAATCTTCGCTTTGCCGTCTTTTCTGGGCTGCCAATGAAGAATTCTTCAGGTTTTTGCTGAACCGGTGTCGTTTCTGGTACTTGCTTGGCTTGCTCTTGTTGGCTGGCAGTACGCTCGGGACTTTTGATCTCGGTCTCGGCGCTTTCCTCCATTGGTCCCGCATCTTGTTGTTCCTGATGTCGTTCAATGGCAGCACGTTCGGGGCTGCCTATTGCTGGTTCGGTCTCGGCGTTTTCTTGCACAGGTTCCGGTTCTGGCACTTGCTCTTGATGTCGTTCAATGGCGGCGCGTTCAGGACTTCCAATCATTGGTTCGGCGTCGGCCTTTTGCGCGGTTTCCGCATCTTGCACTTGCTCCTGGTGTCGCTCAATGGCGGCACGTTCAGGACTGCCAATTACTGGTTCGGTCTCGACCTTTTGCGCAGGTTCCGTTTCAGGCACATGCTCCTGGTGTCGTTCAATGGCGGCACGCTCAGGACTTCCCATCATTAGTTCGGTCTCGGCTTCCTCCTGTGCATGTTCCGGCTCATCTGGCACTTGCTCCTGGTGTCGTTCAATGGCGGCACGTTCAGGACTTTCAACAGCAAGACTAGCTTCATTCTTGCGAGTTACAGGTGTAGCTCGCAATGCAGACGGAGACTTGTGTACGTCGGGTTCTTCGTGTTCATGTCTTTCCTTGGCAGCCCATTCTGGACTTCCCATGGGGATTCCAGCTTCGTTGACATGTTCGTTTGCGTCGAGAGATGGTTCACGGACGTTTGCTTGTTTCTCGGCAGGCGGTGGGGTAGGTGAAGCAGGAGCCGGTTCTTGTGCACTTTCAACAATCCCATCTGCCATCTCATCATCTCCTGTTTCTGCTGTAGCAACGAGCTCGGATGATTGTGCCAAGGCGATTGCTTTGCCATCTTGATCTTGTGACAATTCCAAAACTGTAGTCTCGTAACCATCCGAATCATACTCTCTCGAGTCTTCGTCTCTAAGGGCAGCTTGCAAGGCGTCGTCACCGCTCAGTTGAGAGGCAAATGAAACGGCATCGTCAAAATCATCATCTGATGGCACTGCAATCTGTGTAGTTGGTTTCTCGGCAATGGGTGTAGATTCAAGGATATCTCGAAGAATCTCTTGAGTTGCCGAGTCTGGCTGAGAAACCTCTGCGGCCTCGGCAGCCCTTGTAAGGAAGCTTGGTTCAACCAAAACAACATCCTCGGGATCGGCATCTGCAAGCATATCCATGGCATCTATAGCCGATATTGGTCGTGTCTGGGGGCTTTTGGCTTGCTCGGGTTCGTCCTTGGAAGCAACCACAATCTCTTCCACAGTAGACTCGTCGGTTATATCTTTATCTTCGGGTATAGACTGTGCGGCGTCATCCACCTCCATTTTCGTCTCTGCCGGGTAAAGTTCTGTCGGTCGGGTTTCTGCTAGAGTTGGTAGAGGATCCTCAACTAATGTCTCGGTAGCCTCTTCCATGACGACATCTTGATCGTGAGGGACCGGCGACCGAGATTGAGTGAGTGGCGGCAAAGGCGCATCGATTTTTGGCTCTGACTCGACTTTTGCTGGTATACTCTCTGTTTCCCTCTCTGCCTCTTGGTCTGTCTCTTGGTCTGCCTCTATTGAAATGGGCTCGGAAATGCTCGGTTGCTCTTGAGAACCTGGTGGCTGATCCTCGTTGGATTGAGACTCTTGGACAACAGCCTCCATGACTTGGTCCGAGTCGACCACGGGGATTGTCGGAGGAAGCCGGGGTATTTGAGCAACTTCCGACACACTGCTTTCGTCTTCACTTTCTTGGTCATAATCCACCAGCATGTCGACCTCGTTGGCAGTGGTTTCTTCAATGTCGGAATCTTCTTCGCTGTCATGGTCTGCATCCAGGATTGCCTGTCTGTCTTCCTCGCTTTCTTCTTCTTCTTCTTCTTCTTCGTCTTCCTCCTCTTCCTCTACCTCCTCCTCTTCCTCGACCTCCTCCTCTTCCTCCTCTTCCTCCTCTTCATCTTCACTACCAGGACCATAGTCGGGTGAAGTTGCTTGCATTGATACTTGGGGCCGAACTGCAGGCATGGTAGGCGGACGAGGCGGTGGCTCATCATCATCAGAGTCGGATAATAGATCAATGACTACTGGAGCGGATGAGGCTGGTCGCTGCGGTTTGTTGACTTGTGGCTCCTCTTCTTCGTCCTCTTCATCCTCGTCGTATTCTTCCTCATCGTACTCTTCATCCCAACTTTGTTCCTCTCCATCATTGAATTCAGGTTCTAGAGCGTGCTGTCTCAAATCCATGTCATCTCCATCATCTTCATCGTCTTGTGGCGCCAGGTAATTGCTGGTGTCGTAATCTCCTCCATCTTCGTCCTCGTCATACTCGTCATCATAGCGATCAGGGGCATGGTCGGCGTATGCGTGTACTTGCTCGTCCCAATCTTCCTCGGTAACATCATGGCCAGGTGGTGGACCTTGGATAAAAGGGTTCTGGGCAGCTTGTTGGAGGGCACTTGCTACATGGTCTGGTCGAGATACTGGAGCGTCTCCGAGACTACCATGTGCGGCATCCACAAGTGGCTCTTCATCAGAGTCGCTTTCATCAATGACCATGGCAGATTGTGGAGTTGTACCATTACCGCTACCATGTCGACTTGATACTGGTCTCGAGACAGATCGGCCGTCTGTTTGATTCACTGCAGCCCAAGTCGAGGTTCCTGCATTGATTGCCGCTCGTTCCGAGGGAACACTAGTCTCACGGGTGTACGGATCGGCGGGCACCGTCACGGTGGCTTCTGCAAGAGGGACATTTTCAACAAATGGAGAAGCGTGAGCAAGGTTGGCCGGTTTGGTTTCATAGTGTTCGGGATCTGGATACACTGTAGTTTGCTCATTTGAAATTTCCTGATTTGCCGCAAAGAGACTGTCCTGTGTAAAAGGATTGCCATGTACAAAATCATGCCGAGGCATCAAGTCACCATCAAAGCCGTTGGGAATTGGTGACTCGAATGGCCGCTCCAGATTGGCAAAGGGAATCTCGGGAGGAAGCTCAGGATAGGCCATTGGCAGAGGCTGTTGATTCCACCCTTGCTCAACCTGAATACCGGCATTATCAAAAGTCGGTTTTGATGGAATCCCAGTAAATTGCTCTTGCGGTTCCGGTGCAGTCCAAGTACCTTGCGAAATAGTCTGTTGGCCTTGGTCGACATTTGCCTGGAGAAATGAACTTGTTTGAGCATGCGACTTTTCAGTCTGTTCAGGGGCGGCAAAGTCCAATTCCATAGTCTGGCTTTCTCCATCAGCCATTTGCGGGCGGGCTGGACTTAATTGCTCTTGATCCGTGTCATCTTGCGATTGTTCTGGGCTAGGCGATCGACTTGTATACCTCCAAGATCTGGGATCCAGCGAAAATCGTGTCCTCTTTCGACCTTGACCCTTGATTCCACCATCATCTTCGAATAAATCTCCCTCAAAAAGTCCACCATAGGATATTCTCGCCCGCTTGACAAAGGCGGGTGACTCGTATTCTCCGTCCTTGAGTTGCAGCGCAGTATTCTTGACGGGAGTGGCACTGGGCAGTATGGGTAGATCCAGCTCAATCTCGGGCTCTGGTACTGGCAATACCGGCGCAAGAGGTTCAACTTCTGGCTCCGCCGACGCATCGATGTCGACGTTTTTCGTCTCCTCGGCGTACCCAATCTTTGCTTGTAGAATCAATCGCTTGGAGAAACTGAGCTGCCACTCCGACTCGGTTCCCGGGATACGTGACTTGGCATCGTTGGCCACGAATTCGACGCCTTCCAAGCTCAATCGCACCTTGTCGCCGCTGCCTAGACCACATTCCGAAATGGCCTTGGCACTCGCTCCGACACAGTTGACGCGAATCTGACCCTTGGCTAAACGCAAACGGGCTTCGGGTTCGGCGAGGATGAATGCGACAGAGTTGTTGACCTTGTTGAACGGCCACACAATCGTGATAATGCCGTGAACTGCACTGTCGCGAGATGCTTCAGGGCCTAGCTGTGCAATCGGTATGGCGGCATCCAGCCTCTTGGCGACGTCCATGTTGTCGTCGGCCATGGTGAGTGTCGCCAAGGTGCATCGTCGACGCGTAGAGTGGTTTGGTTCACGTGTCAATCATGCCCAATCACCAGTCGCAAGTCGATATCGGTGTCATTAGCGTCGCGGACGTTTAGTCATTCGAATGCGCTCTCGTCGCATGGATGGTGGGGATTTTGGAGGTTGTAATGGTGATGGAATGAGCATGCCAGTTGGTGTACAAACACGGAAGCAGCTACGCGGCTGATGAGCTTTATCGATAAGTGCCCAAGACCATGATGTTTGCGCCAAGACTCGTCTACTTATGTAAACTCGATTGTGTAACTGGCCCCGCTTTAATCAACTACATGTCAGTTAAACAGCAACAAAGTACAAGTCAAATTCATTTGATAATCCAGAGCATCACATTTATGGAAGAAAATGGATATAATGATGACTAGCTACAAAACTCCGCTAACAAGGAGAAAAACCACGTTTGTTGAATTCTTTTTGCCGCAACGTATGGGCAATATGATCTATTTAATACAAGTAATAAAGGCAGAGATGAAACTTTGAATGTTCAAGAGCTCGATGGTTGAATTGAAGAGCAAAGAAACGGACACCACTCCCGAGTAAAACAAAGCCCGTCCAATCCACAACTCGGAGATTGAAACTAGCATTGTTTACAAAGCTCCGTAAAGATGCACCAACGGTACTTGTATATAATGATTCCCCGTACTAGGTTCGCGAGAATCCATATTAGTCACGTCCCAGATGCCCACGGCCCCTAACTGTCAGTCGAAATTCACAAGGAAGGTGCGCCGCGGGACCTGATCAATAATAAAACTTGTGCCTTGTCCAGTCACAAAGCAATGCTACTGACCACAATGCTCCAAAATACTACAACTCTTTCATTGAGAAAGACGGAATATCAATGGTTAAAAAGTATTGGAGATGACTTGACTAAAAATCCAATTATGAAAAACAAAAAAAGAGGGAGAAACTAGGATTCGAACCTAGGACCTTTGGCCTTGAATCCAGCGGCTGACACACGCAGCGGAGCATCACTGAAGGTCAAGTCTCAATGCTCAGAGTACCCTGCCTAGTGAAAGGCTGGCCTCTCAGCTTATCTCCTCACCTCTGGATTTATTGCCATTGTGCTACCACTGCACCAATGTCCCATGTTATTATTAAAAACGCCCGTTGATTATACCAATAAACGCACTTGGAACCACGCCCCCAGGTCCATATGTAGCACATGGGATTGAGAGAACAAATCGTTCCACATGTAATTCAGCCATGCAAGCATGCTAGAGAGCCTGAGTGGACCATTATAGCACAATCCCCTCAATGGCTCAATTTGCCAAGTTCTTGGACTCGTACCAGATGAGCCGGAATTGCAGAATGCTAATGCCAGTAGCCTGGTATCGTCTCTTGAGATGCTTATACAAATAAGGGATGCAGCCTGGTTCTTCGAGCAAAATAATTCCCTGAAATTTGGCGTCAGATATGCTGCTCATGTTCAGCACCTTGAGTTTACTACTCGATATTGCCAAGCCCGCCTCTTTAGATCTGTAGATTTGACCGTCGACCAGTTTCTCAATTTGTGAAAAAACATCTGAAAAAAGTCTCTTGGATATGGTGTCTGTGGGATATGTTATATGTCTACTAGTGACTTCAGTACGACAACATCACAACCATTTCAGGAGCACAAGGTCAGAAAGAGCTAATTTTATTCATGTCTTCTAGCTTCTCGAGCTGCTCGTACAGCTGCTTGTCTGGCTTCCGTCTCGGCTACAAATTCGGGAACATGCTCCCGCATGAATGCGAGACTTGTCGTCTCGATCTCCCGCGCCAAGTCCTCATCTGATGTATCCTCTGCATCCACCAGCAGAGCAGAATCGATCTCTGGCAGGATTGCAATATTCGCATCCCAGGAAAAGTCAGTGTCACCCGAAATATGGTCGAATACTTGATCGTCCCATCTATCATTATCAGGGGACGTGATCACGGCCGTCCTGTTTGTATATGTGGCATTGTAGATGACCGGTCTGGCAAGCTTTCGGTCCACTACACGCACTGTTGCGTTTTCGGGGTCCACGACTGCAAAAAAGCCCTCGACTGCAGCATCACGGCAAATAACTACCCGCTCTACTGCATGGTAGGTATTTTTATTCAGAGCCGCCTGAATTGCAGGTCGGTCCATATGCTTTCCATCTTGTATCAGCTGTCCCAGGATGCAAGGAAGATGGGTATCTGGGCTCTTCATCATGCCCAGGTCAACTTTTGGCCTGAACTCTTCGTCCTGGGCCATAAAGCTTTCGAGTTGCAGCAGTTGAAGAATCGCAAAGTCGTGCAGATAAGCATGAGCTGAAAACTGTGCACAAAGCTTTTCCATCATGATGGTGTTCAGCAGTTTGCCGACCCCATCAAAGTCTTCGCCACAATGCATGATGAGTATCGACAACATGTACAATTGCTGAAGAGCTCTGACTGCATCCGCAGGCTTCCATTCATCCATATGGATCATGTAAAAGATTCGGGCGGCGGTGATGAAGACGCATCCATGGTCTCCAAAAAGATGTGTCTCATCCGAGATCCAAGGAGTGAGGACAGCTAGCATGCCCTTACGATCCAGTGTACGGATTGTCCTTGACTTGACACAGAACACATTGATAAAGTAGTCCCACTTGGCATGCGGGAGGCGGCCTATCATGACATTGAGAATCTCATTGGTTCTTTTGTTGAGAATCTCATAGTTTGTTTCATGAAGCACGCAATTCTGGTTCGCCTTGTCTACGAACTGTTTGAGCTTGCTTTCCAGTTGTACGACTTGGGCCAGATTCTTCTTTGCTTCCTCTTGATGTGTTTGTATCTCTTCCTCCAAGGCAATTTTGCTCTCGAGGCTTTTGATACTGACGTCGCGCCTGGCCTTCTCCAAAGACTCGACTCGCGTCTTGAGAAATTTGTTTTCCGTGTCGACATTCTCAAGCGAATGAATCTTGTCAATGCTGACATTCTTGAGCCTTTCCAGAGCTTGCAACTGTTCGTTTGCAATCTGGAGGTCATCTGTAGCGTCATTCGATCTGACCTTGAGATTTTCAAGCTCTAAACAGAGTCCTGAAATTGTATCATCTGCGTGAGATGTAGAATGTTGGATCGCTATCAACAATATCAAAGCTCGTCTATCCGAATAGGACTTGAGATATCGAAGCTGCCCCTGGAGCACCGAAGCCGTGGTTTGCGAATGACCAAGCGCCTGTTGTAGTTCAGAGGCTGTAGTTTTTGATTGTTCGAGTTGCTCTCGGAGCCCGGAGACTGTAGTCTTTGATTGCTCAAGCTCTGTTCCGAGTCTTGGTGTTGTGGATCCAGCATCCATTTTCGATTTCTCAAGCTCCTTTTCGAGTCTCGAATTGTTCATCTTTGATTCCGAAAGCTCTGCCTCGCGCCTTGAGATTTCGGATTGTGAATCTTGATTTGCCTTTGCAAGCTCTGATTCGAGTTTTGAAATTTTAGTCTGCGAATCTTGATTTGATTTGACAAGCTCTGCTTCGAGTCTCGTGGTTTCGAACCGTGAATCTTGGTCTGATTTGGCAAGCTCTGCTTCGAGTCTTGATGTATTGGCAGTCGCATCCATGGTACATTGGTGAACCTGCTTTCGTAAGTCCGTGATCGTGGACTTGGACGCCTCTGACTGCTCCTTGAGACTCTTGTGGTCCTCGTCCAACTTGTCGAGATCAACTTCGGTTGCTGTCAAGGTGACTCGCAGGCTCTTGATTCGTGACACCAAAAAAGCCACCATTTCAGACGGCTCGGCTTCATATGGTGTAGACTCCAGATCAAGGCTTTGTAGTTGGTCATTTATAAAGGTATTGAGCGCGATCGAGTTTGTCTCATATTGCGCTGCAAGTTCTTCTGCCGTTTTGGCACGATTCTCAAGCGAATTGACTTTTTGTTGGGATTCCTCAAATTCTTTCTGGAGCTGTTCGACGTAGGCCCTGTCGTTTGCGAGATCATCCTCGACGGTGGCTAAACTGGAATTTGCCCTGCCAAGCTCCTCGCCCAGCTCCGTGATTTTTCTTGTTCGCTCTTGCAGTGTTTGCTTGTGGAATGCTATCTCCTCCTCCAAGCCATGGCAGCGTCCTGTGAGCTGCTCATTGTCGCTCTGGAGCTGCGAGTTCTGTCCTTGAGCTTGAGTCAACTCATCTTTGAGATACCCGTTTTGTCGGACCGACGCTTCAAGGTCAGCAATCCGCCTGTTGCTCTTGTCCAGTTTGATCTTCAGAAGAGCCTCATCTTCCCGAGCCTTGCACAGCTTTTTGTAGTTGTCACTGCTCGTTGTAGTCTGATTATTCAGGTGTCTTTGGAGGCTATCAGCAAGGGATCTTGCAGTGGTCCAGTTGTTATTGAGTTGCTCAACTTTGCGCCTCAATTGTGATATGTCCGCGTTGGCAAGAATCAATTGGTTGGAATCTTGGACTTTCGCGTTGCTGAGATCTTCATATCGCCCCTTATATAAGGTAGCTTGCTCTTGAGCCTTGGTCCGCTCGGCCTCTTCATCTTCCCTGGCTTGTTTTTCAAGTCCAAGTTCCACATTGACTTCTGTGACTCGGCCCTCGAGGGCTCGAATCTTCTCGTCTCGAGTGTCAACCTCCTTCTGGTGCCCAATGAGTTGATTGTTCAAATCTTCCGCCTGGCCTTTGACCGCGTTGAGTTGGCCTTGGACATTGGCCAATTCTGCTCTGAGCTTCACGGCATTGCCGTCACTTTCCTGGCCATGTAGCTCTGCTGCGAGGTACTTGTTCAGGTAGTGACTCTCTTATTTTGCACGTGTCTCGGCTTGTGACGGGCTGATGATGGGCTGTGCAGGGAGTGCTGGGGGACCCATGAGCGACCGGGGTGGTTGGGTTGACGGCGGCACCTCGTGGGAATGTCCATCCTCCACGAGCATCTGCATACCGGGCTGGGCCTTTAGGAAACCCATGCCAATGGAATGGAGATTCAATTGTAGAACCGCCCGCGTAAAGTCCGATGGTACGGCCATACCCTTTTCTTGGACTCTTTTGGTGATTCTGTCCATGCGAGCTGCATAGCTCTGTCGCGTCTTGCTCTCCTCGTCCACATTGTAGTGTGTTTGGCGGACTTGGTCTTCGATGGTCTTGATCTCTGATTCCTGAGCCTTGAGGATGATTCGATCGTTTTCCAAGAGGTCCCATGGATCCGCTGAGTAACTCATGCGTTCTAGGTGTGCCTGCGTGGTCTGATACTCCTTCTGGGAAATCCTCTTGGTGCTTTCGAGTGCTTTCTGTATACTTTTGTTTCGGTTCGAGGCCTGACATGCCTTTTCCCTGTAGTCTGGAGACGAGATTGCAGAGGGAAGCGCAGGCATTATGGTCCTCTTGCCTCTGGACCCCGCCTTGGCGTTGCTGGGCCCATCCGTATCTGTGTGATCTGAGTCGTCACCTTGACTATTGTTTTCCATTTGAGAGTCTTGAATTTCGTCGTCCATTTTAACTATGGTTCAACGAACAATGCATTTGATTTGCAAGTGATGCACGAATGTGGGAGCTGTTGGCATCGGGGGCATTTGGGCAAAACCGGACTAGCACTCGGAACAAAAACACCTAACTGCCTTCATGTTCTGCTGTCTGGGAAGGTACTTGCACAATGAGGAGAAGTCCACTACGCGCAGTCCAGAGAGGCTACGTCATTAGATGTGGCCCGTCATTGGCAATCATCTTTCATTGCAACCACTTTATTTGATCCAAAAGCCCCTATTCAATCCATTCACAATGTCAGCACAAGATTTGCGAAAAAAGTACCCTCAAGACCTACACAGTCAGGCCTGGCTGCTCGCCTGCAGACAGCCGTACGGAGATGTGGTCACTCTCTCAGACTGGATCGGCGATGTGCACGTCGAGCAAAACAAGACCACCAGAGCCAGCCGCCTCGTGAGCTGTGGGCATTTGAATACCGTCCTCGTTATTGTCAGACACTTGTTATCTCTAGGTTTGATTCCAGCAGCAGCAGCAGCAGCGAACTCTCCATTGTTTGAGGCAGCCTACCATGATTTTGGCAACGGCGATGAAGACATGGACTCAAGAGTTCAGGGTCGCTTACTGGCCAACATGTTCCCCAACTTGACATCCATGAAAGATTTCGTAGCATTGTATCCTGTACTGGAACAGCTCCTCGAAAGTCCCCTCGTCAAGACAAGTCTCTTTCAGAACCCGACCTTTCTCATGTGGGACCACGAAGTCTGCCAAAAGGTCAATGGCGTCTTTCGAACGACGACGATTTCGGATGAAGACAACTCAAGACGTAGTCTGATTGTCTATGATGGCAGGACACCACTATCCGAGTCCGTCTCTCAGTCCATCCGCGAAAAGTCCAAGGACGATCAAAAAGGAATACGACTCATCACCGCCTTTCCCCAATTCTTGTGCATTCGTTACGAGCCCACAAATGAGTCCGTGACCCAACGAAGATTCGACGACCTCGCAAGGTTCATCATGACGGCTTACTCGAGGGACCCCGATGCCACACCGTCCATTCCAGCCCCACCGGTCAAGCAGGGACGCAAGTATGTCCTTGTAATGGTCGTGGCACAAGAAAAGGGGAATGTAGAGATCAGAACTTACGAACTCAGCTCCAGACCGGTGCTCCCAGAACACGCCTCGGATGATTACGATGTCACTAGTTGGAGGCTGGGTGCCCCTACCCACAAGTACACACTCTTCTACACGCGGCTTGACCACGAGATGCCACTCGAGGACAGCCTGGAAGTCTACAACCTGACGCAAGATCAGTTGGCCATGTGGCGACAACCACCCATCCGTCCACGCGCTGCACCTTCACCAGATCTATCTGCTTTTCCCGGGCGGGACTTTGTTCCTAGCAGTTCCCAAGCCTACGAAGAATCGAGGCACAATAAAAAAAGACTGCCCAGTATGGCACCATTCTCGGAAGATCATTATTTTGTTCCATCTCAGGTTGTAGCCGAAGCAGGATCCCCAGCAGGGTCCTTGTCTGGACAGGAATACTCTGCCAGACGTACTCTTTCGCCCACGTCACGCAATTCGAGTCGCCTCGGTGCATACGACATACCATCAGATTCACCAACCGATGAGTAGCTCAAGACATTCACATGGTAGCAGGAGATGCACGATGGCCTGCCCCTTTCCTTTTCCACTATCATGCTCTCTGGTTAGTTGAATACAACGGCCATGACAGTTCTCTACGCGCATCATTCTCTCTGGTTAGTTGAGGAGTACAACGGCCATGACAGTTCTCTGCGCATCATTCTCTCTGGTTAGTTGAGGAGTACAACGGCCATGACAGTTCTCTGCGCATCATTCTCTCTGGTTAGTTGAGTACAACGGCCATGACAGTGCTCTACGCGCATCATTCTCTCTAGTTAGTTGATAGTCTTTGCCTTTCACGTTATACCGCCAGGTTAGTTGTTACAACAGCCTTGTTCTCTATTTAATGGTAAATCACGCAAGGATAGGCTTGGGAATTTAATTGGTTGTGTTGCGTGTCAAGCTTGCCAGATATATTTTTCATGCCGTAATAACTTGCATGTGATTCTTTCCTCTAGTAAATATTGTTAGAGCACCAGTCAACAGCCTTGCCGCAGACCCCCTCCTCGGGTATATTGAATAGTTCTTCATCATCTATCTTGTAGGATGCAATCATATATCCTTTCTCATATTCCCTTGCCTTGTCCCTCCCCTCACACTGACTCGGGTGGAGTGGAGAGTCATGGACAAGGCAAATGTAGGTATGCATCGGGACGAGACACGCTGAATAACGCCCTGATAAAGTATTCACAATCAGCTACCTACCCAGGTTTCCCTACGCGGCACAAGTTCGTTGGATGAGTATGAAAATACAGGCAAGCCAAGTTCCGCTGAATCTCAATTGACTTTTTTCCAATTGGATACATAATTCAGCGTGGCTCTTGTCTAAAGGTACATATCTCTATTCCATTGATTTGGTGATTATCCAATGGAATAATCAAGTGGAATAATCAACTGCGGCACCGTAACCCACCCACCCACAATTGCCTTGACCTGATTTCAAGCTGAAGCTCTTGCCAAAAAAAAAAACCTCTTCCTTTTCATCATCGATCAAGAAGCACACCGCAGAACTTGATCAAAAACCGTCGCGAAAATGCCTCCACAGCGCGACAAAACGGGCATTGGCCTATCAAATTCATCAAACAATCAAAATCACAGATCCGACAATCGAGTTCAGCGTCGATCCCCATCCCCATACAGGCGCCGATCCCCATCCCCGTATAGGCCCCGATACGACAGCCGAAGCAGGCGTCGTGATAGATCCCCTTCGTACGACAGGTACGACGACCGCGACGTTCACAGTCGTGGTCGGTCACCTTCGTACAGACCCCGATACGATAGCCGAAACAGGCATCGTGATAGATCCCCTTCGTACGACTCCAGGTACGACGACCGCGACGTTCGCAGTCGTGGTCGGTCACCTTCGTACAGACCCCGATACGACAGCCGAAGCCGGCGTCGTGATAGATCTCCCTCGTACGATTCTAGGTACGACGACCGCGGCGTTCGCAGTCGTGATAGATCTACATCGTATAGACCCCAATACGACAGCCGAAACAGGCGTCGTGATAGATCCCCATCTTATAGACCCCGATACGATAGCCGAAGCCGGCGTCGTGATAGATCTCTCTCGTACGACAGGTACGACGACCGCGACGTTCGCAGGCGTGGTCAGTCACCTTCGTACAATGATCGCAGACGGAGTCGTGACCGATACGAAACCCAATACGGCGACCGTGCCACTGTCACATTTACTTATGACAGGAACCGGAGTCGTAGCCGGGATCGTCACCGGGACCGCCATGATAGTCGAAATCGACGTCATAGCCACAGTCGCGAGCGCCACCATCGTGGTCGCAGCGTCGCGAGCGCCTCTCCCCCCCTCTCCCCCCCCTCGTGTTTCGACTCTGAGCACGTGGCCCTACGAGGTCGAGACCTACGACGAGCCTCCTCGTGGGTCATGGTCAGCTCTTTCCAAAGAAGCCTTCATGAAGCTATGGGAAGAGGACCGAGACGCCATTGCGCCACCACCAGAAGATCGAAACACAATATACCACTTCAATTGCCGGCAGGTGCATGCCCCAGAAAACTGCCGAGGACCATTGGATCGTGGTCAGCTCAACGGCTGCGTGTACTGTGGCAGCAAAGAACACATGGCAGATCACTGTCCGTACTTTCTGCTCGTCCCAGAGCAGCATCACGACAAGCTCCGAGTGTACCTCCACGTGTTTGCCAGACAAGGACTGCCCCCGGCGGCCAGCCGAATATCTTTTCACAGAGTTCAAATTGGTCCCATGACCAGGTACAAGGTTCCCGTGCTGTCCCGCAACACAGCACGGATGTATGCACGGCAGCAAGCAGACCGCGATATCGCGGCTGAAAGAATGCATTGGTGGAAGACCTTTGACTACTCTCGATTGGAAAGTCCTGACATCGAGATCCAGAGGCTTCCTCAATCATGCGCCAATCTGAGGAAATGGTCCAACAGCGGTCCATTGCCCACTCGCGTTGGCAACACTCTCTACGATTTGGACGAGTACGGCCCCGATGAGGAATCCGAGCCGTTCAATGAATTGTGGACTGTGTTTCACAACCTTCAAGTCCAACCAGGTCCTGGTGGAACACGAGCGGTCAATATTCCAGAGTGGGTGTTTGATGGCAGAGGCCAGTACCAAGGCTGTCTTGAATACCCCCCTCCCCAGCATGATCCAAGTCGGCCGACAGCTCTTAGCCCGCCAAGGACGCGTGTACCACAAGCCGTTCCCCATTCCATAAGACAAGGCCAGGCTTTCCAAGTAAACAAGCCCGAGCCATTCATAAAGCGCGAGCCGGCTATCAAGCGCGAGCCGACCGTCAAGCGCGAACCAGTCGTCAAGAACGAGACATTGATCAAGCGCGAGCCGGTAATCAAGCGCGAGTCAGAGTGAATGAGCCACAGGATTTCCTGGGCATATACCCGAATCACCAAAACACAGACACGACATGTTATTAGGTACTAAAGCATGTTCAAAAGACACACATAGGCATGAACGATAATTCCAGCCTCTCCACAACGACCATAGAAACAACGGACACGGAATCGTGCAATTGATTATGGTTCGTTCATACAATAACTGTTGGTTGATTTCATACAGCTGGATCACCGCAGCTCTTCTCGATCACATTGGTAAAATGGATTGCAACCATATGCATAAGTTGCCCGCCATCTATCTTGATTACATTGTACAATGAATCAACTGCCATTGGACCATCCAGCTTGCCTCCGTGGTAACGGCGAGCGCTCATTGCTCGTCATTATAGCAATTTCCATAGGCTCCCAATAACCGCGGCTTCACTCTCTCAAATATGCTGTCATTATTTTGTGCATGTCGTATATTTAATTTGAATTAGAAAGATTCTTGATAAAAACGGAATCTGTTTATGTCTTTTCTCCGCCCCCCTGGCAGAATATTCCTTATTTAATGCACGTGATATTGCCTCGAACTCTTCCCTCACAACCTTAAATAAATCGATCTTGGGCATAGCAGGATAGATTTCAGGCAAAAATAAAAGAGAAAAAGAGAAAAAGAGAAAAGAGAAAAAGAGAAAAAGAGAAAAAGAGAAAAAGAAATAGAAAAGAAAAGAAAAGATAAATACTGGATAATCATAAATCAGCCTCTCCAAAAGCTCTTTATATTTCCACAGGCAGCGGAGAAATGCCGAACCCAGTTGGCCTCAAAGGTTAAGGCCGTTACACAGTCACAAATGCAAGAAATGCAAAGCTTCTGGATAACAATCGTTGATAAAATATTGCCATAGGAAAATTCAGTGTCAGAGGATAAATCGTCCTGGGGAACTTTCCCGACAATCATATCGTTACAGAGTACTGTGGATGAGCCGAGAAATATATTCAGACTCGCGGCTCCAAGGCGCGGGAAATGTGGCGAGGATGGCCACCTCTGCAGGCCACTCGTTCAAGGGCCAAACGCCCCCAGTATCGCCTCCAGTATTTACAACTAGATCAGTCACAATGCTCCAAAAGCGACGCAGTAGTGACGAGGATTGTCAAGCTGCGGGCATAAGCCATTTGATCAAGGAGGCCAAAACCGAGCAGATGCCAATGACTGCCCCTTTCACGTTTCTTTTTCCGTGTCAGACAAATGGACGAAAAAAGGACTGGTATGACGCATATGCACGGATCATGCTCCTCTACGAGAAGGTACGTCTTCTCACAGTGGACCAAACGGCTTAATCAAAATCTCGGTGCGGGTGTCATATCTCTTGCAAAGCTGTTTCTAAGCGATGGCAAAGAAAGGCCTAGGTGGTTTGAGGTCCCACAGCATGGTGGTACCGTCCTTGCCACCGGAGATGCAAAGGGAACCGTCGGGGGAGATGGTGACGGTGTTGATGTTATGTTGGTGGCTTTGCGGGCTCGGTTGCTTTTATATATTACAATATACTGATTGAGAATTGCATTCGGACGAATAAAGTCTCTATCGTCTATTTTTATTGTAAACAGCCCTAAAAGGAAGACTGTCTGCAGCCCAAATTCCTGGAGGAAAAAAAAGGGGAGAAAAGAATCAAGGAAAAAAAAAAGTTGAGCCTGAGAGCAAAGAAGTCAGAAAAGTATTGGAGAATCTAGGGTTGGAACCTAGGTCCTCTGGCTTTGAATCGCGGGAGGTGTCGACAAAGAGGCGGCGCATCACCTATCTCTCTCCTGAGCGCCAGTCCCATTGGAACCAGTAAGATTCTTTGCCAGTGTCCTACCACTGCACCAATTCCCCATATTGTTATTAGAAATGCCCATTGTTTGGATTAATAAACTGAGTGATCACACCCCCAGCCAGTCTGACAAATCCAAGGCGACGGCGCGTTTGTAAACACGAAGAGTATTGAGAATAAATCGATCCACACGTAATGTAGCTATCAAGGTTCTTGGTTCTTAATTACATTTTTATTTCTTTTTTGTGAACGGCATCGAGTTGCGGGATAATGTGACAGAGGAATAGCACTTGGCCAGCTCGATGGGTCAGCATCTTCTCAAAACCCGAACAAAGCACATGGGAATACACTCCGTGGCCTCGACCGTGGCGAGTTTTAACAATGCACCTCGACCACCGCTCTTCATGTACTCTCACGGACTTGATCCTCCACTTACCCTTTGTCCTATCTTGTAAAGAACGTTCCGCGGCATCTTCAGACTAAGCATTTGTTAATCCATGCTTCTTGCCACTGTTTTTCCTACTGCAGGCCATTATGCATGTAAATGTCCCATATTTGTCAAACAGTCGCGGTGAGCGACAGGCGAATGTGCAATACTGTAGTGGCATGGTTCAATCATAAATGTAGATTGATGTATCTTCGCACACTTCTCGTTCCTCGGTACCTTTGAGTAGAACTACAACCTCGATGGCTTCGTGCACAGGGTATTTGTGCAAATCAAACGCGATGTGGAAACAGAATCAGCAAAGAGGCGAGGTACCTCATGAATTCGATTGATAGCACACTGGTGCGCTAGTTTGCAGCCTGACGCGCTTTTGAAATAATGAAACTGGAATAATCAAAGTGGGATAATCGACGGTGGCCCACGGAAGCAAAAACTTTTTGACGGCCCCTTCCCTTCCCAAGCTGAAGCTGTCCTTTTCTCTTCTCTCACCATCTCTCGCTCGATTTTTCATCAACCAACAAGAGAGATTCGCCACGATGCCATCAAAACGCAATCAAGGCACACGCCGTCAGGGCACGTCACGCCCACCAAACAATCATCAACACCCTGCCGACGTTCGATTGCAAAGTGCCCATGGCCAGCGATCACACCCTGCCGACGTTCGACCCCGATCCCGGAGCCCAGACCGTGGACGGGGATCTGCTTGGTCCAATGCACCACCGCCTGGTTATGGTCAACCACCAGTACCGGCGTGGTCACAGGTCCCAGCATACCCCTATGGTTACGTCTACCCGACTGCTCCTACCTGGCAGGCACCACCGCCGCCGCCGCCGACGTATGGATACAGCTATCCTCCAGTTCAACATTGGCAACATCCTTCACAACAGCCATATGGATCTGAGCAGGGTTACGAGCCTCGACAGGAGGATCGTGGGCGCCACGAGCCATCAAGAGCGGATAGGGGTCGTGTGGATCGCAGTGCGGTCCCCCCCCTGTCCCCAAGAGCCTCGCATGGCAATTCACGTCGTCGCGGTGAAAGCTCGCGCAGATCAGCTGGTCCGGCTCCCAAAGAAGACGCAACGAAAAAGGCGAAACTCCCCCATGATCGGCGGCCTCCTCCTGGTGCTTGGGTTGCGCCAACGACAAATGAGCTTCGCGAAATTCTGAACAACCAGGGACCCAATGGATTTCCGCCTCTGCCCGTCGACCGTAGCACGATATGGCATGAGAGCTGCGGACGAGTCCACGCTCCAGAGTTTTGCCGGGGCCCTATGCTAAGGGGCTGCATCTCCTCTTGTGTTCTGTGCGGGAGGCATTCCCACCTCACCGACGATTGCATGTACTACTACACAATTCCAAGGAACCAACACGTTGCCCTGGACTTGTACCTGTACATGTACGCAAGACAGTCGTTGCCTCCGGTCGCCACCAAAAAGTCGTTCCAGCTTGAAAAGTGTGGCCAAGGACACTTGTGCTTGGTTCCTCCCTTGTCCCCTGTCACTGCTCGTCACTACGAGGGCATACAGATGCGACTTGACAAGTCGATGAACCAAAAGGTGTATTGGGAAAGATTCGAGTACCGTGCGCTCCGACCCATGGAGACCGAACTCCAATCTCTTCCCCCCAAGGATCCAGTCCGAGGCCAATGGAAGGACTTTGGGCCATTGCCGAATCGCCTGGCAGATTGGGCCCAAGGTCAATACCTTGGTAAAGAGGCTGCTGCACCCTACGAGCCCAAATGGACCTTGTTCGCCAATGACGGGATCAGGAGACCAAACGGACAACAACCTGTCAAGTTTCCGGATTGGGTCCTCTCAGGTCAACCGCCTCGCGTCCCCCTGTTGCCACAGTCGGCGGACCAAGACGATGACCAGTATAGCTCCGATTCTCCCATTGCAGCCAGTCAGAATGGCAAAGAGCGCAAGAAGAAGGCCAGACGCGACAGAGCCCTCCTGAACCTTGATTCAGTTGATGGAGCCC